CATCTTTCTGAGAACCGAGTGGAGAGAGGAGTCTTAAGGACTGTGAGAAGGACGAAGTAATACATAGAGCAAGTAAACTGTCTGACTCACGCTTAGCGAAAACTAAGTTGTGCAGTGCCAGTCGGCGAGGTTTTGCCGTGACTGGGGGTCTGCAGGTGACGATGTGGCTTACCACATAATTAATCACCAATTGAATCTCTTCGGTTTCGTTACTTTGGGGAAGTATCGAATAACGCAGCCTACGTGAATCGACTAGCAATTCATAGTGCTGTAAAGGATCGATACCGAGTATGGCCATGGGAACATTAGAAGGGATGAACGTCCATAGATACTGTTGTCGATTAGTCAGGTTGATAGTTAGCTGTCGTATACCGTAGGTAGGAATGACAGAGCCATTCGCGTCGGGTGGTCGAAGCATCGTAGCTTGTGACTTACTGCTACAAAACGATACGACAGAAACTTGGGCACTTGTGGCCACCAAGTACCTAGCGTTAGTGCGAAAGTCGAGCACGTAAAATAAACTAAAAACCTGAAGTGACAGTGAGGAGACAGGTGAAAATGCAATGACCTGCACCTCGGAGTCTATTATTATAGCTATCTACCATTTCGAAAAGTTGTTGCAAGTATAATATATATAAAAGACATTATTAATAGTATTGCAACATTATAAAAATGGTGATAGATGGATAATAGACTCACCGTAATTGACTTCTTTTGAAGAAACTTCGGCTCACCAATTGTGGTGAGCGAGTCAAGATACCAGATTGACTATGCTCACCACTAAATGTTCCATAAGGTTGCGTCACGAATATAAAAACAAATCCATGTTCCAAGGTTTTATTGAAGGAGACATTAGGCATTACATCGGGAACAGCAAATAGAGAAAGATGACAGCAACGCGAAGAGAACGTTGCGCGCACGAAGTGGAAGAAGTGTTTTGGTACAGTTAAAAAAAACGAGTACAATAATGTTTACTTTTCACGAATCGTATTTTCTTCGTAGAGGTGTTCCACTACAGCAGCTCTCGCCTAGAAAGGGTTAACACTTTCGATACACAGCGGCTGCGTTCGGGGGGGGGACTGGTCGGCCAACATTTGATTGTAGTATGGAAGGGTTGACGAACAGGAAGCGACCAATCAAGCTCGAGTTGTCACTGATAGTCTTCTACGTTGAACTGTACCAGTAATAACGTGCCAGGTATGCTACTCGAGTTGATGTGCAAAGTTTGTCCATCGGATTGGCATGCCACACCAGCGTGGCTCGTATCCAGAGTCTGAAGGTTGCGTTCGTAGGCGTTTGGACCAGATAAAGCTGCAGACGTAGGACGGAACCAGATTGAGCGAAGGAGCCAGAAACGACCAGTGCGAAACCATTCGTATACCAGATATATTCCTAACCAGAAAATCGACTGAGTGCATAGATCAGGCCAGCTTTCGCCAAGGTTGACTGAAGTCGACAGTACCAACAGGGTAATGGTCAGAGGTATAGGCTCGGGAAAAGTGTAGCATGCATGTAGTGTGATGGTGAAATCCTATGCCGAACCCGTGGTTGATTGGTAGTTAGTCGAGAAAGCGTACAGGTAGGCGTACGCGGCGACCGGAAGGCCAGACAGTAGCCTCGTGCGTACCTTGTGAGCCTGCATTCTCATCCGCAGTCAAATGCGGCGTGGTCTGCTGATCTGGAAGTGAGACCGGAGTCTCATCCGTAGATAGTGAAGATGACGCGTGCTGCTGACTGGGACGTGAGTATGAGGTCTTTGGTTTACCTACCGTGTGCTCAGAAGGAAAGATAAAGATCCTGCTAGTGAGTTTGACGAGTCCAGCATTAAATCTCGATTTACCAGGTAGGGCAATGTCATTCACGTGTGCTGGTATGAGACGATCAATGCTGACTGTGTCCATCAACCTTGATGGTCTTTTCGTGACGAGAGATCACGTGAAAAGATCCTCCATAAGGTTGTTGAGTACCGAATCTACTAGTAAGAAAAGTTGTGGACAGGTAAATAACTCTCGAAGGAGAGTGACCTGTCGATGTTATATTCGAGTTCACACCGGAGGCAGTATTCGCATCTACGCAGATAGTCGTCAGACGTTATCTGACATACATAAGATCGCTGCTCCGTGGTGTGAAAAAATTCCCCAGGCAGATGCAATGTCGTGCCGTATACAAGTTCGGGAACATTGGATATCTGCGGTCGCTGCTCCGTAATCGCCATGTCGTCTCCAACAAATGCCATCTTTCTGAGAACCGAGTGGAGAGAGGAGTCTTAAGGACTGTGAGAAGGACGAAGTAATACATAGAGCAAGTAAACTGTCTGACTCACGCTTAGCGAAAACTAAGTTGTGCAGTGCCAGTCGGCGAGGTTTTGCCGTGACTGGGGGTCTGCAGGTGACGATGTGGCTTACCACATAATTAATCACCAATTGAATCTCTTCGGTTTCGTTACTTTGGGGAAGTATCGAATAACGCAGCCTACGTGAATCGACTAGCAATTCATAGTGCTGTAAAGGATCGATACCGAGTATGGCCATGGGAACATTAGAAGGGATGAACGTCCATAGATACTGTTGTCGATTAGTCAGGTTGATAGTTAGCTGTCGTATACCGTAGGTAGGAATGACAGAGCCATTCGTGTCGGGTGGTCGAAGCATCGTAGCTTGTGACTTACTGCTACAAAACGATACGACAGAAACTTGGGCACTTGTGGCCACCAAGTACCTAGCGTTAGTGCGAAAGTCGAGCACGTAAAATAAACTAAAAACCTGAAGTGACAGTGAGGAGACAGGTGAAAATGCAATGACCTGCACCTCGGAGTCTATTATTATAGCTATCTACCATTTCGAAAAGTTGTTGCAAGTATAATATATATAAAAGACATTATTAATAGTATTGCAACATTATAAAAATGGTGATAGATGGATAATAGACTCACCGTAATTGACTTCTTTTGAAGAAACTTCGGCTCACCAATTGTGGTGAGCGAGTCAAGATACCAGATTGACTATGCTCACCACTAAATGTTCCATAAGGTTGCGTCACGAATATAAAAACAAATCCATGTTCCAAGGTTTTATTGAAGGAGACATTAGGCATTACATCGGGAACAGCAAATAGAGAAAGATGACAGCAACGCGAAGAGAACGTTGCGCGCACGAAGTGGAAGAAGTGTTTTGGTACAGTTAAAAAAAACGAGTACAATAATGTTTATTTTTCACGAATCGTATTTTCTTCTTAGTAGCATTCCCCTGCAAACTTTTCACCTTTTAGTTAAGTGTTTAATATATTCTATTTTGTCCACTCCTTTCCTCGAGAACAAACGAGCTGGTTTTTAGAAATATCGATGTATTGGATGGTGGAGCTCATTTTTTTTTCTAATATTGTTTATTTCTCAATTGACACGATTTTCTCTCGGAAACTTCGAAATACAGATTTCCAGTCTCTTACTGAATAGTCAATTATGTTGAAGGATGATTCAACAAGGAAACTGGTAGTCAACTTACTTGCAGTTTGCTCTGAACGTTCGGAAATCTTTCAAGTAGCCACATATATTCGCCTTTATAGAAGTCAAGGAAAATTATGTTATGCCAGATTCTCGTTTATGCTTTTTGTATTTAAAGCCTGTTATACTGTCATATCTGTTGCTTCCAGTTAACAGAAGAAATAGGTTTAATTTGGCCACCCTTTTGTCATTGGTATTCCAAAAATCAGCTTAGGTGTGGTTGTACGAACCCTTTAGAACGGCTCAGTATTATTTTAGGCAGGGGCTTAGAGCATATATACAATGCTCAGCTTTATGAATAAATTCTGTAAATAAAGCCAAAAAAGTAGTAGCAAAACAGTGCTGATAGCTCTGTAAGTTGACTAAACTGTCCTAAAACTTATAATAGTTTCCAAGTGTTAGCTAGTGATGTTTTCCATGTGGTTGAGTATCTGGATAACAGGTAGCTCCCTGTAATTTATTGTGTTTGTACTTGTACAGTGGTGGGCAATATGTATCAGGATTCTAAATCATTCAAATAATATTTTTAGGTTATTTCGAATCTGCATACTATCATCTTCGTTTTTGTATCTCTGTATTTTAATACCGTCATCACATACTAAGATCATCGAAAGAAAGTTATTTACAAACAAAATAAATAATCCTGGCACCAAAACTGTGAGGGACCTTTCTAGGCTCTGCGGCACAGCTAAACAAACTGGAGTTGACTCCCATACTTTTTGATGATGTCTAGATAGTAAATCCTTCGCACTCTAAAGTAGGTACTTATTTGTCGAGCCTACATGGCTCATTCCAGTCTGTGAATAAACTAATTAATCTACTCTCTTCGAGGCATTATTCACTCATAACTTGTCTATTTTTATTTCACTGTGTGCATTGCTTACTTCTCTTATCTCAGGTCTACCTAATTTCGCCTTGCTATAAACACATAGCCATGCCTCAAGGGATTTGGTTAACTTATCATCTTTCTCGACTTAACTTTGCTTTGCTGCATTTTTACGCTTCCAGTTCTGTTGTCTCTCTGCTAACCCTGAAGAATGAAATATATTCACTCACAATAAATCGTAATAAGCATTTATTTACCACCATCGCATAAACAAGGTTCACCTAATAAATGAACGTGAAAATTGAAGGAAAGATTCATATCATGGCATACGCGTTGTTCACGCAAATTGGAGTTAGATCCTAGGCAGCTAAACTGAGTGAGGTATCCTTAATCCTGCAAACACTTACCTTAGATAACTAGTGGTTATGAGGCTTTCACTCAATACCAACAATTTTTTAAATAAAATTTATATTTGTGGGTCTTTTTTGATCTTTAAGTGCGCAACAAACAGGTTTTTAGGAATATGAATAGTTTGTTCTGGGACTGTGCTACTGAGAAATATCTAGATGAGATACATGGACTCAGTCTAAGAATTCATGTTTAAACTTAAGATATAGTACTTCCTGAATAAAGAAAAATGTTAAGTGAAAGCTACTATTTCATCGATTACCATCTGAAACACTGAAATCGCCGATTGAAAGGCGCTTAGTCTGAGTGAGTAGGTCACTTAAGGTAATAACTAGCACTTGGGCTTTCTGCGAATTATGAGTTCCAAGTCTTTGGAAACCCCAGTTAAAATCGACCCAGAAGTTTTAGAAATTCAAAAAAAGATATATAGGGAGCTTTTGATTAAACAAGCAAATCTTAAAAAGGGTAGCAAATACTTCCCGATAGACCTTGAGCCATTCAAACTTCAGCGCGAACGTTTGGCATTACCTTTCACAGATAAAGACCGCGCTGCCAGGAAACAGTATCTCGAAGATCAGTTATTATCAGAACGAGAACCAGTAAATGTCCCTGAGTGGACCCGTGTCAACATATTTCGAAGAATGTATAGAAAGCCTTTTGATGCCCTAACAAATTTAGTCAGGCCCATAATCGTAAGTTTGCATCCATTTCGCATCTTATGATAAGGGGGATCAAAAAAGTTATGCTTTTCGATTTGCTATATCAAAGGTTACCTGTGCATTACTATTTTCCTGGTTTGTCTGGTATCGTATCAAGTACTGTGATGTAGGTTCGTTATCTAACTTTAATCATTGTTTAGAACTGGGAAAGAAGGGCCAAGTCAGTGAAGTCTAAAGCTTATAGACGGCAATATTGGCCAGTAAGTGTTCAGAATACACAATTATTTGTCTTAGGGTGAACCGGGATTCTATGAAGCTTGGAAAATGGACGATTTTGGAATGGAAGAATTTGATAAGAGAACTGCTTTCCTTGGAGAAAAGTTAATTACCAGTGGACCATGAAATTCTTATGTCTTTAGGAAGTGTAATCTATTAATGTAGTCCAGACGTCGGGTTCTTCGAAATATGCGTAAGGATTTTACAATATATGTGTCTGTAGTCAGTATGTATGGGCCTTCGATTTATTGTATAAAAGTTCTAAGCGTACAATCCGTTCTATGAGTCATGTGGGCGAAAGTCATGGGAATTGTTATTGACTACTGTACTTTAAACAGATAGTGCAAATGAGTGCGCTGTAGGCATATAAAGTAGAGTATAGGTTTTTTTAAGGCTTTTGTTCCTTCCATTAATGTAAAAGATCGTGTATTTTTAGTGATCTGTGGAATTTACAGTCTCATCAAGTTCAAATACCGTCCCACACTTCAACCCTACTGTGGATACACGTATCTTGGTAGGAAATCTTTAGTTTTATGATTTTGTGCGAGAATTACCGTGAAGGAAACTAAGTAGCATACTACTCACTTCTCAATCAAACTCTTATCTGCTTCACCACATCTGAGGTCACTGTCTGGTTTTCAGCATTCTCAGAAAACCTAAGTATGCATTGTACAATAAATTCGACTAACTGGAATTCCAGATGTATATATCTGGACGTCTTTAAGAATTTAGTTATGACTTTTTTGTGGTTGCTTAAATTAAATCATGGATTAATGTGACTGGTAATATTTGAATTTATAAAGAAAGCTTTGTCGTAAACCAAGTCTAGAAAATCATTTCAGCAATATCCAGTTTCTCAAAACATTCGTTTAGTAAACAAAAAAAATGCAAACAAATAGGACAGGATTAACTGCATGTTATGTTAAATTACTATGGTCAATGATGGATCACTTAGTTTATTATTCATCGTGTGAATATGATTAGTAGGACTATAAACGAGCATCGAGAACAAAGTTTGAGGTCCGCATCATTATCTATACAACCACAATAGGTCATAAAGTTAAAATCCACATTAAAAGCAACAATGGTTGAAAACTGACGGAGTTATGTACGAGAATCCTACTTAGTGAGTGTTGCTGAGTAATGCTTTCAGCAACATTTTCTCGGATTTATATGAACCTTAGAATGGGTTTATTAGCACCGATTCTGTATAAACATTATATAGGCTTTACATATGACATTATTCGAATGTGGTAATACTACTGGAGTTAGCCGACAGCCTTCAACATCAAGGATGTGGACCAGCCTCGGATAAGATGTCTTGCTCATGTGTTGCATATGTTAAGTCAATGCCATGTTCCGGTGTAGGAAGCTTGCTAACAGTATTAGATCTACAAACGATCAAGAGACACTAGTTTCTGCCATTCGTACGCAACGTAGAGCTTGGCACGCATGCGTCGATCCAAGTTGCCACTTCTGCACAGCGAAACATTAAAGTAGTAGCAGTGGTAGTAGAAACAAGCGATATGTGGAAAAAATCCACAGATGATTTCGAAAGTTTAGGTCTACGAGAAGAAATAGGGTGACTGCCACTGTGGCATTCCGTCTGATTCCGAATTTTGTCGCTTTACTTTCACAAGCAGGCAGTCTGCACCTTCCGATATGGCCCAGACAATCGCTTCATAAAATGACGTCACATTTAGTTTTTGGCAATCCTCAGTTTCTTCGAACGTACTCCCATGCCAAAAAACACCTTAGTAGTTAGAAATGCATAATGCAAGTCCCAGCCATTTCAGTTGGTGAAAATTCACTAATGTTTCAACCGATTTGTCATCCTTGCTAGTACTCTGAGCCTAACCTCGGCGGTCCTAGAATACATGGGCATAGCTTCAAAGACGTTAATAGTCAAATACTAGTAATCTAAAAGTATCCTCTGCTTTTAGATATAACGGACTCTCTCTTCAGTCAACGGATAATGACTACACCTATCCGAAAATTTAGCAAAACCCAGACAAATACCACCCTACCAGGGTTTATACGAATCCCAAGACAGATTAGAATGGTCGACAAAATTAACTATTTCACCCTCTACTTTTTCAACACAGACCAATAAAAAAACAGTTTGTATTTGAAGTGAGAACATCTCATGCCGACACTACTTCCGAAGCTCATCAGAAGACTGCTTATTCTCATAGATTTTCCTTAAACAGAACCATGTCCTTTGTTTATTCAGTCCGTGAATTCTGTAATAGATCGGTTCTTATAATAACCGTTTTTTCCTCTGTTGTTCATGTGATTATTGCCGGCGGAATAAAGGACTACTCATGGTTACTAAAATTGTAGGAACTGGGAGTGTGTCCTCGGATGTTTCTTGGTCATCCAACTCTCTCCACTTTAATGAGCGGTATGCCCTACAGAGGGGACATTTTTCCTACTACTGAAGGACCCATTATGAAAATTCAGCTGTTTGGTTATGGATTGTTAGAGAGACAGCTGTAATCTGCGATGGATGATATTTAATAATATGGTTACCTCCCCTCCTCTAAACCTTGAGGGTCGTATAGTCCAGTTATCCGTATTGGTGCATGACACTAAATTTTACACTACTTATGTTTACTTACAATGGCAACTAAAAATGTGGATCGCCAAATCGCAGAAATACTAGGTTACGTTAGGTTGTCAACTTGATATAGTCAGACACGGTGTACATCAAACCGACTATACAACAAAAGGATCAGTTCGATAGAATAGCTAGTACAAATGCATATTGCCATTGTTAATAAAGATCTTTTTCTAACGATAGAGCCAAAATGAAAGTTACCATAGCCAAATAGTTAAGGACATGTTGGATAAACAGATAAATGACCATCTCTTTTAGCAGTTGAGGTAGATACTCTTATCACCTATTATGATATAAGCTTTATAACACAACTTCCTAACCTATAGAATAAAAGCCCCCTCGACAACACTTTATCTGAGCATTAGACTACACTGAATATAGCGTAGTTAGTCCCACAGTTTTCTTGATAAAAAAAGTCCGAAACAAAGTCAATAAGATTAAGCAATATCAAGTTCTCTTTGCTTATAGTATATTTTAGGACAAACAAAAAGACAATTTTTGAGCGACCAAATCGAGTAGGAATATTAATTGATAGAATATACACTTACCTTTGATTTCAGAGTTCGTCAAGGAACATATTACAATATGTTTAATTTCGAATGTATGCCAACCCCATTCGTTAACTAGAGATTTGATATTTCAATATTGAAGCATGTCATTATGAGTAACGCTTGTGCAGAGTGTGATACAATGAAAAAGCACTTGGGAATGTTGAAAGACATCATTCCATTCATGGTAAACTGGTAGTTTTTGAAAGAAGAAATACCTCGTCAACAAATAGTACCGTTATAAATAATTGACCGATAGTCTTCAAGCTTGCTGTTAGCGGTGGGTAGTCGGTCCGTTACAGCGTAGAACCTCGTACGTACGTGCATCAGTTCAAGTTGTCATACCACATTAGCACACAGAGATCGAATTGTCGTTTCAAATACCATAGTGGTAGAGGTGGTAGTAGTATAAGTAGTATAAGAAGCAATCTCAGAGATTAGGGTTCGAAGATATTCAAGGAGTATTATCCAGTAAAATAAGTTTGAGAAAGGAAAGATGAAGACCATGAAGATTTCACAAGATTGGAGTTAGAGAGACGACAGAGAATGGATGCATCTGCGCCACTGTAAATGATTTCGAGCCATCGGTTACTATTGCCTCGTGGACCCCAACTTCGTAGGCTACATCTACAAACATGACTCAGTCCAAGTGTTAGTAACTTCGAGGATTTGTTCCATGTTTTGGTTTGGCCATCCCTAGCTTACTTCCATCATACCCCTAATTCAAATTGCATCAGTCGTTTGGTATACTGTTTAGCATGCGCGTAAACACGTCATTTCTTGTTAGCGTTTTTTTGACTTTTCAGGAGTAGACCTTCTACCAGGAGGATCGCTTACTGACCTAGAATATGCCGATGACATAGTTCTATTCGGTGAAGACGCTGACAAAATGCAAAGTCTTCTGACTACCCTAAGCAACATCCAAGCATGTTAGGGATGTGGTTTTCCCCGTCAAAGTGCAAAATGTTTCTTTAGGATCGGCTTGTATCGGCACCTGAACTCTCTTCACTTATCTGGGAAGTCTCATCAGTGCTGGTGTGTGACGAAATCTCAGCTCGGATACAGAAACTTCGACTGGCTTTTGCCAACCTGCATCACTTATGGCGCAAGCAAGATATCCGTTTGCTGACTAAACGATGAGTGTACTGTGCAGTGGTTCGCTCCGTCCTACTTTATGGCTGTGAAACATGGCCAGTGAGAGTAGAAGATATTTGTAGGTTACTGGTTATTAGGAAACGGGTGCTACGTAAGGATGGCAGGTCAATAGATGAAGTAATAAAACTTCATCAGTTGAGGTGGTTGGGACGTGTGTTGCGTATGCGTAGCCGCCGACCGTCTCGTAGAGCTATATTTTGCGGCATAGTAATAGGTTGGGAGTAAGCTTGGTGCGGCCAGACCAAAACATGGCAGAAAACTGTGAAGTCAATAACAAGTGAACTGAGTCATATCGGTAGGTGTCGACTACCTGGTTTGGGTCCGCGAGATGATAATAATCGATGGTTAAAGATCCTGAGCGACATAGCTCAAAACCGTTTGCAATGGCGCCGGTGCATTTATTCTTTGTATTCGCTCAACCCCTAACGTTTTGAAACTCTCATCACTTTTTCTCTTAAGTTTATTTCACTAGATTCTACTTCTTGAATAATATCTTCGGACCTTAGTCGGGAAACGAGAGCGAGGATCCGCCGACACGACGTGCTACTCTAATCTGACTGTCCCAACCCCCATTGAGTAAAAGAAGCAGAATTGATATGAAGTAGAACCTGTATTCTACAATCATCCAGAAAATACGAGGTCCGAGTCCAGAAGAGAATCAGGATCCCGGATTAGGGACCCGCGTCATAGAAACGTTACAGATTATGCGTATTTATACAGTTAGGTCGAATAGGAAACAACATTAAATTCTGTGACACTGATAGCTAGGACGACCATAATATTGACCATTAAGAATCCACCAATAGAATTAGATCTACAAAAATAATTCTCTTATATTATTCGATGAATGTATCCTAACATATACGTAACATAATGATAATCATGATCAATTATATTTGAGGAAAAAAAAACGAAACAACAACGTATACAAATAGTATGAGCGTCACTATCATGAATAATATGAAAAATTTAACAAATATTGTAAAATGTTTAAAAAGTTCCTTAAATTCTGATTGGTTAAAATGCCATATACACAAATACGTCAAAGTTCTGGGTTTTTTTTTTGTGTGTGTGTGTGTGGCTGTAATCGGGAATAAATAGAAAAAAATCTAAACAACAACAACAACAAACCAAGCGATTGACAACAACAACTAGAGAAAAGAGAAACAAAACAAGAGAGAAAGACACAATGTTTAATTTGCTATTACATAATGATGGCGTACTGATTTTTTTCACTGTTCTTGTTGTTGTTGTTGTCAGCTTGTTTATTATGGATCACTAGACAATGTGGTTTGTTTATATAAATTTTTAACGGAACGATTCAATTTAATCACACGATTACGCAATGAATTAGTAATTTTATTACTGTTCTTATTTATTGAATTATTATTTGTGGTTGTGTTATTTAATAAAGTATCAAGACGTACACTAAGTAAGTGTAATATTGCTGGCCCATGAACTGATGTAGTAGGATCGTCGAATTCAAGACATAGAATAGCTTCTTGAAGATATCTGTTTGAAGAGAAAAGTTAAATTATGATTAATTATACAACTAAAAGATCTAGGAATATTTTTTAAATGGCATGTATTTAGTTAAATAATTTACATGATCAGGTTGTGCGGATTGTTGAGTTACTTTTAGGAAACATGAATAGATCGATGTTAGACCACCATCATTAGAAACCTGGAAGCACTGGACGGCCGTTTCGTTCGTATCCACGATTCTTGCAACTCGTAGGGATCGAGCCCCGGGATCTTCGGTCTTGCGCGCGAACGCCTAACCTCTGGACTACTGATACGGTATCTAACAGTGTCAATGTCTAACTTCTAACCTCATCCACTGGTTGCGGTGAGCACTGCTTTACTCCCAAACAGGGTTACGACTTCACGGAGCTAGTCACTAGTGAGCACATGATAATTTGCAGGTCTCTAATGATGGTCTAAGATTGATCATTAATCATGATATTAAAAAGTTATTTAAATAAAGCAAACATACCAAAAGCGACAATAAATATTATATGCATTCAATTTATATTGAGTTCAATCAATCAGTCAATAAATAGCAACATAGAACTTCATGTTGCCATACCACATCAGCACAGAGATGTATTTGTCAATTCAAATCCAATAGTAGTAGAGGTAGTAAAGGTATTATAGCAGTAGTCGACGAAGTTAGGATTAGAAGATATTATTCAAGATGTAGAATTTAGTGAAATAGACTTAAAAAAGATAGAGATAAAGTGACGAAGAATTAAAAAAAGTTTGGGGATTTGAGTAAACACAAAGAATGAACGCACCTGCGCCATTGCAAACGATTTTGAGCAATCTCATTCAGGGTCTCTAACCATCGATTACTAACATCTTACGGACCCCAACCAGTTAATCGACACCTACCGACATGGCTCACAGTCCATTTGTCAGTGACTTCATGCATTTTGGCCATGGTTTGTTCTGACCGCCCCTAGATTTCATCCAACCTATTCCTGCACCGCAAAATATATTTTGAGTTCAAAGTATATGTCATTTAATGTATCACTGAGGTACATGGTGTCACAGTCCTGAATAATCTGGTAACTTGTCAATCATTTCATTTAGATTAGTATCATGTCTTGGTTTTTCTTTTTCAAACTACTTACTTGTATATCAATCATTGAGTAGTTGTTCCGTAATGGTTGAACATACATACATAATGCAAATACACCGTAATTCATCTTAATCGATAAAAACCTTGAATACCTCAAGTCAAGCAATGTGCCATTTTCATCTACCGCTGTGTTTCCCTTCAAACCATTCTCCCTATTGATCGAATATATATGATATTCATCTATGGAATATCATCTATTGCGTCCTATACAATCAATTAACTAACTAAGACTAAAAATGTTTTGCATTACGGGGTTGTGAAGATTGTTAAGTTACACATTTTTTTTTCTGATAAAAAGAACTTACTTAATTTTTAAATCTAATTGAATGCTTAAATCACCACAACTTAATTGATGAATTAAAGATAATAGAATATTTTGACCAATTATATAATCACCGGAACTAAACAATTGATTCATATCAATATCATTACAGACATCTAAAAGAAGTAGTTGATTAGTAGAAACTAAAGCCTAAAACGAAATCAAAAAAGAGAGAGAAACAATAATGATAATAATAATAATCTGTTAGGTGCAAAACAACTAAGATTGAATTCACCTATGTGTGTCCATTTATAATGACTGTCTTCATGACTAATTCCTAGCATTCTATTAATGACTACCTGGTCAGTCAGCTAGAATGTAGAACTATGAACATGCATAAATCAGTTCAAGTATTAGCGGTGACGGAAAAGTATCAGATTCGGAGATATAATTCGAGAAGTATAATCGAACGAGGTAAATTTAAAAACAGAAACGTAAAGGTGATGTGCAATACAAAAGATTACAATTTAAGAGAATACGGAGAATAAATGCACCTGGGCCATAGCAAACCAGTTTGAGCTATTTGATTCAAGGACGCTCACAATCGATTACTTTTATCCTGCAGACCCCCAATCAGGCAGTCTAAACTTACCAACATGACTCCATCCAGTTGTCAGTAACTTCATGGATTTGTGCTATGTTTTGGTCGCCCCTAGCTTTCTTCCAGACTACCCCTCCATCAAACAACATCACTCGTCGAGGCAGTTGGTGGCCGGGCTTACGTAACACCAATCTCGACCACGTCAACTGATGAAGCTTCACTATTTAATCTATTGACTTGCCATCCTTACCTAGTACCAGTTATCTAACAACAGCATTGTTTAATCAGTGGTCACGGGATATACGAGCAATGCTTCTAAGATACCTATGGTCGAATAAACGACTATGTCTGATCAATAGAATTCAACTGTCTCAGTAATAATAGAACAGTTAGTGTCAAAGAAATTGTTGTATTGTTACAAACGCCGAAAACAAAGGAATTACAACTCAATCATCCTAAAAGTGTTACTACGTATATTTCCTTTGCACGAGACATCAAATTCCTGGGATTGATTTTGTTTGATATTCTGACGAAAGACAAACAACTTCAAAATGCAACTGAACATATATATCTAGTGCGTTAATTTATTAAATACTCAATTAAAATTCATTAATTTGTGAGCAAATAAATCAACACGTTCGGTTCTGATGGTTATTAGCATACAGACAGCTAATTAGTGAAGGTTAACGGTGGCAATCTAAGAAAACGATATATGTAATATATCAGTGGATAAAATGGATGGACTGTATGTATGGGACTGTTGAGAGAGCTTGAAGACAAGTAGTATACAAAGGATTCAGTTGATATATTTTCTCTTACCTAAAAGCTATTGAATTTTGTGTTTATCCACTGTACTTAATGTATTGATGTGACACAAGATCTACAGAAGTATATATACACTAGATTCGAATGCTAATGATGAGTGTAATGAAAGCGAAATACTGACAGGAAGGTATTGTTACATAATTTGCGAATAATGTAATAATTAAGTTCCCAGATAGCTAGATATATATATTATCATTAATTGGCGTATCTACATGCTGATATATTTATTTTATCAAGAGTAGCAATGTAGGAGAGTTTGCAAAGATTGTTGAAATTCGCAGTGTCTAACACGGACCGATCTTACACCACTAATAAATAATCAGGATGCACTGGACAGCTGTTTACTCCTAGTATCAAACTCCTCAGTGGTGCGTGTCCACGACCTAGTTAGGTATATATATAAAGCCCACAATTGTCCAGAGTTTTCTAGTTATCATGCACATATTTATATACTGGGCTTTGATTTATGCTTTATTTGTATGAGATCTGATGATACACACTCCCAGACTTCTCAAATCAATATTAGATTTGAACCTGTATGATCATTGCACTACAGTCTGTCATTGTATTTATGAGTTAGCTGTAAGTCTTACAAGCACGTGTGTGTAACACTAAATGCATAAACACTTTGAACCCTAAAACACTTATTGGATAGCTTGTTTAAATGAATAAAAAAGTTTACATGGATTTATGATTAACCAAACAATAGTTAATGAACAACTGTGTGTTGGGCTGTATAAAAATACTCGAATAAATCATTATTAATGTGTTTTAAAAAACATGAGAAAATGGCAACAAATTTTAATGCGAAGGATTCAAATATACTACTATCACGCAAGTGTATATTCTTCACTGGACAAGTCTAGACATATCATGTGCTTGTTTGCGTATTCCATCTTAAGGTCAAAAGGTAGATTGAGAGATTATAAACAATCGACACTATCAAAATAGCTTGGTCATGTAAGTACTCAGGAACTCAGTTTATTTTTTGTGCTTGAAGGATTTCAGAGGAACATATGTTCCTTAGCCTTTCTCCTTTCCTTTTACCTTGAGGGTTCCAAGTCAGGGCTCGTCTTGTAACGCAGTTAGGTGCTTTTCGTAGTGTGTGTCCTATCCTATATATATACACTTGGAACCCTCAAGGTAAAAGGAAAGGAGGAACGCCAGTGAACATATTACGCCGGGAAATAGAGAAAGATATGAGAAGAATGAACAAAAATTGGACAGAAATTGGAAAGGGAAGCCCAGGACAGAGTTGGTTGGAGAAAACTGGTGGGCGGACTACGGTCCATTGGGGATAACAGGAGTAAGTAATATATATATATATATATATATATATATATATATATATATATATATATATATGCCCATGATGTACATGCCATATTCCGTTAGCGAATAGAAATTTCCTAGTCATTTCTTGGTCTGGAGAACAAGTCTTTCAAAAGCCCGTATATCTGCACTAGGTCTGATATAGTGAATCATAACAGTGTCTTCCTTTTATATTATCCAAAATATTTAAATTGATTTTATCTATATTTCTGTGTTAGGTGATTAAGAGTCAACAAGCAAAAATCAATTTGTGGTTGAAAATACGTTGATTTATTTACTGAAACCTTTTGATCATATAAAAGAAAAAGTTTTTGAAAACTCTTCAGTTTATAATAGGCGTAGTTACTTACTTACTTGCTTCCACCTGTTACCCCTAATGGAGCATAGATCGCTGACAAGCGAATTATTTTTCTGGTTAGCGTTTTTTTAACAAGTTGGGTTGCTACAGGATAGGGTAGCTAACCCCATGCCCAAACCCTCCTCTTTTATCCGAGCTTGGGACCAACAGTAACCCTAGAAGAGCTCTAGGGCGGAGTTGTTTAAACTAAGACCAAACCAATTTTACATATATTATCTGGACGTTTTTATTTCTCAAATTTAGATGTGTCCAACAATAAATAACTCTAGGATGACTTGTATAAATTCTTATTAGGGAATTCGGGTAGCGGTTTGGTTGGAGGGATCGAATTAATTCATAAGCACCCGCACAGGGATGACTGTCCATGTGTAAGCTGATCGGATGTCCGACTTGCTTGCGGGAGAATCCAGTCGACATGTATATACCGTTTTGCGCAAAGGGAATCGCGTGATGGCGAAACATGTGTGCCTCGTCTTCTGATTACACGTTGCCTGTTCATGCGGTCCATATTGACGGACGCGATCGAGTTGGTCCATAAGAACCCGTACGGGGGGTGACTGTTCGTGCGTGCACTGATTAGATTTCCGACTTGTTTGCATGACAATCTAGACGACATGTGAGTAACTTCTCGGTCAAGAGTGATCATGCAAATGACGGGTGTGAGAACTCTTGTGCTGTATAAAAGCGGCATATGTGTATGTGCTACAAGCATGTTGGTTGACCCTCTAATACCTCGTTTAATATACATCGTATGGCGCATCCATTACAGATTTCGCGTATGAAGTGATAAGCAATCTTTAATTCCTGGAAAATTCCCGAATGACCTTGACATACACAGGTAGGTTATGTGTGTAATTGTTTTCCTGGACAGTTTGTGTATGTTCAAGTGTTCTTTCTAACCATAAAATGGGAAATAAACATGTAAACTCTTATTAAAATTCTAAACATGTTATAATCTCCTTTTTGAATGGGCTAAACGAAATTAATTAAACGCGGCATAGATTCTGTGACTGATGAGTCCCGAATAGGACGAAACGTGAGTTCTGCATTCGACTACTGCTAGTCATATTTCCCATCTATTTTCTATGTAAATTTCTGTCGTAATAGCACTGCTATAAGAAAAACTCATATATATCAAAACCTACAAAACAACGAGATCATTGAAAACATTTAAAAAAATAATTTAACATTACCAATTCCAAAGCATCAACTAAACGATCAGAACGAATTAACGCTTGAGCTTGTCCAAACAAACGAGTCAATTCATCTTGTTTTGTTGATGATGTTGACGACGATGTTGTTGTTGTTGTTGTTCCTACTGTCGTTGATGGTGGTTGTGATATTAGATTCGATGTATACGGAGTCTTATTAGTCGTAGCAGTAGTAGTGGTAGTAGTAGTAGTGTGTATTTTATGCTTTACATTGGAACTACTATTATTAATGTTTTTATGATTATTGCTACTACTGCTACTGCTATTCACAATTGGAGTAGTCCCACCTCCACCCCCACCACCCCCGCCACCACCACCACCTGATTTATTTAAATGTCGATTATGTGATCTTTTATTCATAGCTGTTTTATCTAATGGTGTGGAGCTGTTTAAATTCGGCATTTTATGATATTTTGCATTATCAGATAATACTGCTTCAGAGAAATTATCATTACGATCATGATGATGAGTATGAGTAGTACTATATACATCCAATGATGATGACGGATTGATTTTAACACGTTCATTTTCTAATTCTTTCAATGTTTCAATAATAGTTGACTAAATAAGAAGAAGACACAGTGAATTAAACAAACAAACAAGCATATAAATTAAAGAGAATCGATCAAATAGTTAATATGTACATGAATGGATCAATGGTAGTAGACCACCATTAGAAACCTGAAAGCATTGGATGGCCGTTTCGTCCTGGCATGCGTATCGACGATTTCTATCACTCGCAGGATCTGGGACCCAGGACCTTCGCTCTTCCGTGCAAACGCCTAACCTCTGGACTATTGGGCTGGCATCCAACAGTGTTGATGTCTAACTATGATCAATCTAAAGTTTTGTGTAACCCGACCCACTGTATTTGGTAGTTAATGCCTACAACCGACAGTATTGAACTCCATTAGTCAAGACTTCCTACTAGAACTCTGTGAATTTCTTCACGAACCTAGTCAATAATGAGCATATTGTACAGTTTTTTTCATCATAGTTATGGAGATTGTCACATATTATTGGACGAAACTATTAATTATTGAGTGGATAATATGAATAGTTGAACTGGTTCACGTAATAAATTGTCAACTCAATAATTGTCAAGCGTAAATTCTTTTAATTGAAACCTTGAATATATAGAGTCATTTAGTTAGTTGTAATGTATTACGTACGTACATCAGCTCAAGTTACCGTATCACAGAGAGATGGAATTATTGGTTCGAATCCCACAGAAGTCGAGGCAGCTGCCACCTTGACGTGGTGGTCGGGATTGCCAATTGTGATGACCCAACCGAGCTATATTGGCTGGAATATAAGTTCCTTTAGGACCTATCATGCAATGCGGGTCGATCGGAAAACTGTAAGACTAGAAGCACTAACCTAAGGTATGAGGGCGAAGTTGTACTGCTGAATGCAGAGGCGTGTGACAGTAGTAAGGTGTTTCCTCAGGGACAACTAGCAGCTGCAGCGATGCTGACCTCACACAAGCGAATGAAGGGGTTAGAAAAGGTCAACCCTTAAAATGTCACACTTCACCCTGTAGAATGTATGCAGTAACAACCAAAGACAGTGGGTAAGGTCGCGCAAAATCCATAGATTCATCAGAATTAGACCTTAACGTTGCTGGATGCCAGCTCAGTGGTCCAGAGGTTAGGGGTTCGTGTACAAAACCGAAAGTTCTGGGATAAGATCCTGCGAGTGACATGAGTCATGGATGCGAACTGCTGAAGGGTCCCATGCCAGGACAAACAGCTGTCCAGTGCTTCTAGGTGCCTAATGGTGCTCTAACAATGATTTACTCATAATTTCAGTAATAATATTAGGATGTAGCAAAGGTAATAAGATTAAAATTGGTAAATAGAACAACATAACTTTAATTCTTTATCGACTAGAATGATGAGGATATGACTGAACAAGCAAAGTTGTTTACAGATGGTGGAGAAAACTTGTAGCTCAGGTGGATGATTGTGGTGGTGGTTCGTTCTCTGAGCTGGTTGTTTTGGTTTTGGAGCTTTCATTGTTCTTCTGAACAACATCATCAGCACAAACTTCAGAGAGAAGTGAAGCATTTGAATTTCTCCACGTTTGACCTGTAGCTTGTTCTGCTAACCACAATCTTGATTGGTTTATGTTGACCTTTGACTTGTCGTTGTTTGCAACTTTGTTTTGATTGCACCCACTTTTGATCTGTTTCTTGATCCTGTGTCACCTATGATTTTTCTAATTGGTTGATAAATTGAGTCAATGTCGATGTGTTTGTTGACTGGCCGGAGTGCCAAGCTTCTAAAAATTCTATAGTGTTCTTTGTCCTGCCCCTACCCAGTATTTCCACATTGTTCCAATCAAATGTGTGTCCATAATTATCAGTATGTATTGATATAAGCGAAGCGCTGTCGTGGCGTTTGACTGCTAATTGATGTTCACGTAAACGGAGCTGAAGAGGTCGTCCACTTTGTCCTATGTAGTGTTTTTCACAGTTTGAGCAATTTATTTTGTAGATGATATTTGGTTTTTCGTCATTTGTCATTTTGTCCTTTGGTCTACATGGGATTGACTGAAGTGACTCTGTCGGTTTGTGTGCCACACCTATTCCAAATGGTTTCAGTAGTCGTGCCGTATGCTCCGATATGTCTTTGATGTATGGCAGGATGATGCGTTTATTTGTTTCTGTGCTTGATTTCGCTTCTGATGATGGTTTCGGTTGATGTTTTTTTGATGAAGTTGCGTGGATAGCCGTTCTTTTGGAAGATAGTCATCAGGTGTATTTCCTCGTTTTTATTGCTTCGTATGTGCTGCAGTGTCTTCGCTCTCCTGAACAAAACTTGTATGCAGTTGATCTTGTGGGTTCTTGGGTTGTTGCTGTCGTTGTTGAGAATTACGTCGGTGTGGGTTGGCTTCCGAAATACTTGAGTTTCTAGTTTTCCTGTGTTAGTTCTGGTGATTAGTACATCCAGGAATGATAGGCTGTTGTTTGATTCCTTCTCCATCGTGAATTTGATGTCATCGAAGACGTTGTTGATCCGATTGTAGATGTTCTCCAGCTCATTCCTTTCGATAATAACGAATGTGTCGTCCACATAGCGAACCCGCATTTTTGGCTTGATCACCGGCAGAATTGACGCTTCCAGTCTTTGCATTACAGCTTCGGCGATGAGTCCTGATATTGGTGATCCCAAACTTATACAGGCAAAAGCCAACTAAGTTAAGTAAAATCGACATGCAACAAAACTGTAGGCGATATTTGTTAAGTAACAACTTCAAATTCAAATTTCCATGAAACAATAATATACACATTTTGATTCGCTGACCTATCTATGTAGGATATCACTCAACAGGTCAGTCAGCCAGTCAGATGCAATGTAGAACATCGTACTTAAGTACATCAGCTCATGTCGCCATACCGAATCAGCACTGAGACGCCATTGTTAATTCAATTCCAATAGTAGAAGAGGTAGTTAAGGTATTAGAAGTAATCGGAGAGGTTAGGATGAGAAGACATTATTCAAGAAATATGATTCAGTGAGAAAAGTTTAGAAAGTCAAAACTAGAGGTGTTGAAGAATCCAGAAGATTAGGATTTGAGAGAACACAAAGAGTAAATGCACCGGCGCCATTGCAAACGGTTTTGAGCCATGTCATTCAGGGTATCTAATCATCGATTATTATCATATCGCGGACCCCAACCAGGTAGTCGACAACTACTGACATGACTCAGTTCACTTGTCAATGACTTCATGGATTTCTGCCATGTTTTGGTCTGGCCGCCCCTAACTTTCTTCCAACCTATTCCTACACTACAAAACAAAGTTCGTCGAGGCAGTCGGTGGTTAGGCATACGCAGCACATGTCCCAACCACCTCAACTGATGAAGTTTCACCACTTCATCTATTGACCTGTCATCCTTACCTAGCACCCGATTCCTAATAACAGCGTTGCTCACTCGGGTGTCCCAGGATATACAAGCAATGCTTCGAAGACACCTATGATCGAAAACCAGTAAACGACGAATATCACTCAATAGGATTGTACGTTAGATAAATGATACCTTTGAACAATTAATTTTTTTTAAAAGAAAAAAGAACAAAACAAAGATCTACTTTACACCCCTAATCATTATGACTTACTTTTATCACAGGTGATATTTGATTCATTAAAGATGTTAAATTTGCACTATCGAAAAATGAACTTTGAATACGAGATGAAATTTGACTTAAATCTATGCAGGAAAAAAAAATAAGAATAGTTTTTTTATCATTTACATTCTAAATTTTAAAAAAAAATCAAGAACTTGTTGAATCAAAAAGAAGCTGCCATTCGCTTACACTTACGTCTGTTACACCTAAAAGAGCATAAGCCCGCGCTAACCAGTATTGTCCAACCTACTCTACTATCCTGGGTCTTCGTTTCCAGTTCACTTCAATTGTTCTTCATATTTTTTCATGTCTGTCTTCATTTACCGGCGCAGTGTGAGTTCTTTCATCTTCCTCTATTCCTTTGGCCCTTAGGATTCCATATGTGAGGGAATGTCTTGTCGTGTGGTTGAGTGCTTTGTATAATACGTATATATATATATATATATATATATATATATATATATATATATATATTTGTTGATTAAACCATTAAGTAATTTTGTACGACTTGTTAAGCCCTAATCTGTTCATATTTATATATTAGTCACAAATCGGCTCCATTCACGTTCACAGTCACTTTTTATTGGCTTGTTCAATGTATAATTGAAATTTTTCATTTATACTTGTATGATGTGACCAACTATGGTGGTGTATAAACCAGATATGTATGAAATGTACTGATTATTTGATTCAACTAGTGGAAGGCGTTTACGAACTGACTTTGGAACTGAATCAGTTGGACAAGCCCAGATTCTGTATCGATGGCGTGGACACTTAGCTGTTAACCAAAGATTATTAACGCGTAATCGCATCCTCACTACTGGAATTTTGTTTGAGGCTGCATACTATCTATTATTATTCAATCATTACAGAAACAATGAAATATTATTAGCACAGATGATTAGTGGATAATAAAGGGAATTCAGAAGGTGTGTGTGTTTCATCCCGGATATGAGGTTCGTCAGCTCCGGGTTCTTGTTCACTTCGATGTTCGAACCCACTTATACTTAGGTTACTGAGTCCAAATATAACCAATCACTTGTGCCAAAATAGGATCGATCAACTGCACCCCCAAAACATCAACGAGGACAATTTAAACCATTAAATACACATAAAATCAAAAAACAATAAAATAATTTTGCCGCAAAAAAATTTTCCAATTGGAACATACATTGATGTGTACCAGTTTGAAAGAGAATATTCAAATCAGTGAATAACTTTTTAATTGATTTTTCTAAAGCTGGAATAAAAATTTTATTCAATGAATCACGATAAACACCGGATAATTCAGTGGATAATTGATTAGATGCAGATCGTACAATTTGTGTAGTGAAATTCTGAAACAAAATAAAAATTGTGTCACATTAAAAAAACAAACAAAAAGTTGATTACATTAACGATAATACAAAATTCGTATACATTTGAAATCATCAATCAATCATTGTTAAATCAACACCATTAGAAACCTGGAAGCACTGAAAGACGGCCGTTTCGTCCTAGTCCCGGGTTCGAATCCTGCGTGAGTGCAGGAGTCGTGGATGCGCACTGCCACTGATGAGTCCCAGACCAGCACGAAACGGCCGTCCAGTGGTGCTTCCAGGTTTCTAAAGGTGTTGGTCTAACAATGATTGATTGATGATTTCAAATGTGTAAAAACACAAACCTCCAAAACTCTGCCCCCCCCCCCCGAAAAATTCGTATATGGAAAAATGGGTAGAAAAAAAAGTGGTTAATTAATCTGTGAACTTGTTGTATTGTCAGTTCAAAATTCTGATTGTGGTTTTGGTTGGCTGCATTCAATTCGAAGTAGAGCTCATCAATTTAGTGGCTGGTGGTGATCTGAATAATTAAACGAACAAGTAAACATGTTAAGATATAAATGTTTCCTTCAATTCTCATATATTGTACTTAGAGGCAAACCTTGTTTGTGTGAAGTCAAATACGGATTCATTTGGATGAATTTATTTCATGAAATCGTTCACGGAGAGAGATATGAAAATGAAAAGTATGACAAGTGAAATAAGCAATGTACACACACATTTAGGTAAAAACAACCAACATATGAGCAAATAATTGGGTAAGTCGGAAGACCTGTGAATAATGACTGGAGCAGAAAGCGTTAATTAGTTTGTCCAAAAGCTGGGATAAGTTCTGTGGATTCAACATATTGGTACACACACTACAGTATGATAAGTACATTGTAATGAGTAATACTTTGGAGATGATTCACCTCATTCAGATAAGTGCTATGTGATATAGAGTGTACGAGGGGATTATATAATGTATGGTATATTACATAAACGAGCGATGTTATCTGGTGTAGGAGGAGGACCAACCGAAACATGATATCAGTAGTACATGAAGTCGTAGACAATTGGACTGAGCCATTTTAATAGGTGTAGACTACTCGGTTGAAATACGTGTGACTATCCGTAACCAGTGGTTATAGACTATGAATGATATGTCTCAAAATCGTTTGCAATGGCACAAAAGCATATATTTCTTGTCTTCCCCTCTAATTCTAAGCTTCTGTATAACTTATAACTTAATAAAAAAAAATTTCACTGATTTCTTGAATCGTATCTTTGATTCCCTGTATCTTTTCTATTGCCATTGATACTGTTAATACATCTGCTATCCTCTGAGATTTCGCCTGACAATTTCATCTCTCTGTGCTAATGGAATATATTGCAAATTCCACGTTGCTGCATAAATTTTTATCCCCAACGGTAAACGTTATAAAAAGAAACTAAGAGTTAACACGCTAAAACTACTCATTAAAAAGACCATATGTGACAGGATTCAAGCAAGAAGCATCATTTGAGCATTCAAGCCAAAGTTTAAGACCTTGAGAATTACTAGTCATAATCCATTTTCATAAGAAAAGAATTTTTTTCAGTCTGATCAACTAAGCACTAATATTTAGGGGAGCCACACTCTGAACCTTTCACGCAACACATCTAATCTACTAAGCACTATAGCAATGTCATAAGATACAGCCAGTTCCATGATAGCCACGCTATTCATCGTATCAACAACATCCTGAAACCTATGTACATCATAAGTTTGGAATTAGAGTCTTCTAACTGGACTAGACGAATTCTCCATCATCATCATCATCATCAATTTGGTTAATGCGCAAGGGATACTTGCGTTTCATTTGCTCCATATCATAAACAACATATTCCTGCTGTACAAGAGGGCAGTGTGAGTAGGATATCTGTGGTAGTGATCATATGTGCATAGCTATATTAGAGCATTTCAAGAGAGTGGGAGAGAGAAAGAGAGAGAGAATGGACACTCCCCATACAATAATCAGCTTTCGTAATATCAGGTTATTTATTGTATGAATAGGGGGAAAATAAATAATCACAATAACTTTATATAATAAGTAAAATAAAATTAATCTGATCGAATATTAATTAATTTGTAAAAAAAAAAATTACTTTTTCACGTAAAGTATGTTGAACATTATCAGTTAATAATGCAGATAAGGTGGATAAATAATCTTTGAGTAAACTACATAAAGATTGTTTTACAGGTTCAATAAATCGTAATGAATCTAATTAAATCACAACAACAACAAAAAAAAGAAGTAAAGGTTATAAATAATCAGGGAAAATTTTTATTATTATAAAATATATTATTTTCGATAGAATTATAGCGATGGTTGTTTTACATTGTAATTGTTGTAACGCAGGGGAAACGGAATTATTAAGTCTTCCAGACGGCGCGTATTTATACACTAAGGTCGAACAAGAAAAAGCATCAACGTCTGTGACATCGACAATTTAGGACGACCAATAGAAAAGAATATTTGAATGACATTGACCGTCCAGATGACCAATAAGAGGTAACATTGAAGTATTTGACCCTGACGGTAAGAACGATCATAATTTCGGCCAATAGAAATCGACCAATAGGATTGCACTTCTAAAAATAATATTCTTAGGATATTTGGTGAATATCCTAACAGTAATCATGAGTGAATCATCTATACATCATCATCAGAAGAAGAAGAAGAAGAAGAAGAAACCTGGAAGCACTGGACAGCATGGAACTTGTCACCAGTGCGCAGCATCCACGACTCCTGCTACTCGAAGGATTCGAACACAGAGTCTTTGGTTTTGTGTATGAACGCCTAATCTCTGGACGGACCACTGAGTGCGCAAGGCCGAAAGTCTTATGTTCAAATTCTACGAGTAGTAGGAGTCATGGATGAGCACCGCTGACGAGTCTCATGACTGGACGAAATGGCCATCCAGTGCTTCCAGGCTTCTAATAGTGGTTTATTTGTGATGATTGTATAATTACAGAATAACCAGATATATTTATTCCTTGGATCCTGAGCTCTTGAATAATCTAGGGCTGGTTTATTATTTACAGTCTGTTTTATTCACGGTCACATTTCGCTTGCTAATGTATACTCCATGATGTAATGTAGTCTGGTATGTTTTGTATATAAATTATTCTACAGTGACTAGGCTACGTCAACATGTTAGAAGTTTTATATTAGTGAAATGAAAAAAAAAGTTATTCTGTATCGAGACTGTAGTTTAACCAATCACTAATAATAATAATAATAATAATAATAATAATAATAATAACAATGCCTAAAATGATCAGTATAACTCTCAGTTACGAAATATATATTTATATTTATATATATATATATATATATATATAAGATATTAATCACTTTAATGGTTCATTTGTTTTAATTTATCAATCTATACACAATTTCATTGAAACGATATGATATTGAATATTGAAAGAGTCAGATATCTGCACGTACGAATCAGATTGTACATTAAACAAATAATAGTAACATGGAACATTATTGAACAATCAATTATTAAATGGAACTCATGAGTTTAGACTGATTTCTTTGACACTATTACGAGAAAGCATTTGACAATATGGACAAGAGAAAATTATGTAAATTCCTTCGACATTATGCATTATCTAACAAGATGTCCACCATAATACAGAATCCTCAGGATTGGAGTACACTCTGCAAGACTGGGCAAGACAAATCCACTTTAAACTAGGACAAGTGTCAGAGAAGGCTAGTTATTTTTATTCATTCTCTTCATTTTGTTGGTTGACTGGATAAAGAAAAGCCAAACATTTTACAAAAAAGCATGGAATACAGTGGACAGCTTGGAAGTAGCTAAACGATTTGGACTCCGCAGATCACATAGCTCTTTGATCCTACACAGAATTGCAGGTGAAGACGGAGTGTAGCAGCAGCCTATACAACATTTGAACTCAACATAAACAACACAGAAAAAGATACTCTAATACAAAACAACATCCAAGAATTATATCACAACTGACGGAAAAGCCTTGCAACATGTGAACATACGGTATCATAAAGCAAGCATAGAACCTCCACAATTCAAGAATATCTGAAACTCAAAACAACTGCCAACCAACATCCACCCAAGTCACGATACACAATACAAACGTTAACACACTCCTGCTGTACAGAGTTGAAACTCGCACGACTACCAAATCAAAACATACAGGTATTTATAAACAGTTGTCTATGCAAACGCGCGTCAACTAGACACCATCACATAATACCTACACTCTCAGGCAACAAACCGACTTCAAGCTCAGAAACAAATTGCGAAAAGAAGACTGAAGGTGTACAGGACATGTTTTGAAAAAAAATCATCAAACTATATCAGAAAAAAATTCCATACATGGAATCCTTAAGCGAAAAAGAAATATCAACCAACTCATTGAACAGGGAATCGGAGGCAGATATATAAAAAGAATGGAAGGCATTTAGAAACAACTGAAAAGGAGGAAAACCCAGGACAAAGTTCATGTGAAAATCCTGGTCGCCGGTCTTCATTCTACAGGTGAGAACAAGCGTACGTAATTATTGAATTTATTCGAAAAAAATGACTACTGGAATAGATGAAATAGTAGGACTGTGGTGCGCGCTACTTATAAGTAGTATATGACGCGAGTGTAAACGTAATGTCTGACAGCAGAAGATAGGGGAAGATCAAGAAAGGAAGAGTGGGAACACAATAGTAGTGAAATGTCAGACAATGGATTGATGATTGATTGACGATTTGCAAATTAACGGTTACGATATGGTTTTCCTATTTTACTGAGTAACTCTGTAATTTTCGTTAAATACAATTCGCTTGCCCTCACCTGTATTCTCCTTCACTACAGGACTTGTTAATTTTTCAACTCCTATAACCGACAACGAAAATCTCATAATGTTAAATATATTTCAGAAGACATAACCACTAATATTCAACTGAACTGACATGATAACAGATTAGTTGCAGAATAACCAAAGATATGTGTATATATCCTATCTGGGCAACATCATTGACGAGGAAGGTGGATCCAATGCAGATGTGAGGACGCAGATCGGCAAAGCAACGGTTGCATTTCTACAATTGAACAACATCTAGAACTCAAAACAACTATCAACCAACACCAAAATCAGAATTTTCAATAAAAATGTCAAAACAGTTCTACTGTATGGGGTCGAAAGTTGGAGAACTAAGAAAGCTATCATTCAGAAGATACAAGTATTCATTGATAGTTGTCTACGCAAAATACTTCAGATCCGTTGGCCAGACACCATCAGAAACAACATACCGTTAGAGAGAACAAACCAGATTCCAGTGGAGGAGGAAATCAGGGAGAAGTGGATAGGACACACTGTGAAAAGGACCCAACTGCGTCACAAGACAAGCCCTCATACGGAACCCTCAAGGTAAAAGGAAAGGAGGAACGCCAAAGAACACATTACGCCGAGAAATAGAGAAAGATATATGAAGAATGAACAGAAGTTGGACGGAACTGAAAAGGAATGCCCATGACAGAATAGGTTGGAGAAAACTTGTCAGTGGCCTATACTTCATTGGAGGTAACAGGCATAAGTAAAAGTAAGTAAGTAAGTATATATACATATAAATATATATCTTTTAAACTCTGCTGATTTATGATTCACCAAGAATCACAATTTCGATGTTCACGGTCGATAGTTCTTTTTACTGTTCAGTTCGAATTTTCCTCTTCCAAATTCTATTACACATAAACAAAAACGCACACTGTTCTGCGCTAACTCCCCCCACCTTCCTCTACAAGTACCATGTAGCCCCACAAGGTTGAAAAAAAAACAACAAAGTCTACTACCAACAATTGACAGTTACAAGAAAATGTAATAACCTAAATAAGCTGCTATTGCTTACTTACTATTTGAAAATGCTTTTAATAATTCTTCATGTATGACATGTCTAATACAATCCGATGTAATAGTTGGCAATGCATTAACACGTGATTCTATATTATGCATTGTATTATTTATTTTCATTGAATGATTGGATTCTTGTAAATTCGATAAAATTTTATTCATATTTTCTGAAATTTTTGTATAACGACGTGAAAAATCACCTTGAATTGTTCGTACTGGAATGTTAAAAATTTTTAATTAAGAATAAAAAATATATAGAGAAAGAATAATAGAAATTACTTGGTGAACACACATAACAGAGAAATGAAACTTTACAAGTTATATAATAACAAACTAATTTGGAATATTGATTGTAGAGTTATCATCCTAAGGACACACTAACTAGGTAGTAGTAGTAGTGTAGTGATCGAGAACGCAGGTGGGGCAACCGAATTGTATTTAACGAAAAATTACAGAGTTACTCAGTAAAATCGGAAAACCATATCGTAAATTGTTCATTTGCAAAATATCAGTTCATCATCATATCGAACTGGACTGTTCCTGTTGCAAAACATCAATCCATTGTCACTCACTATTCATGCGTTTCATACACAAATTCCATTGTGTTCTAACTCTTCCTTTCTTGATCTTGTCCCATCTTCTGCTGCAACCAGATATTACGTTGACGGTCACGTCATATACTACTAATAAGTAGCTCGCACCACATCACCACAGTAGTATTAGTAGTATGCATTTACTAAAAAAGTCATTGACTTCATGAACTGCGCTATGTTTGATTTAGTTTAATCATCTCAAATTTTCTTCTTAGTTAATTCTATACTGGAAAGCGTCATCATTTGTCGAGGTAAGCGGTGTTCAGCCATTAAAATAACATATAGTTTTTACGCACCTAAGTTGATAACGACTCACTAACTCCCCCCATGAATTACCACCATTGCTAATGCTTGGAATCCATAAAATTTTATTCTTGATCTCTTGATACCATGCTCTAAACTACAAGTTAGAGTTACCGATGTTCGAGTTTGATGCAAAATGGGACCGCAGGCATTTCTGGCTATGTCTTTTAAAACTCCGTGCCAATGATTTTCCAAGCTCAAATATAGAATCAAAGTGTAGTCAGTCATTTGATGTCACCAGAGAGAACAAAAGTGACTTAGCTTCTGTGAATCTGGGGCGTTGAATGCCAGATCGCTGGTGTAGATAGCTTAAACTAGATACGTAGCCGTTTTTTTTGCACTGCCGAACGTAAGAACACAGAAAGATAGGGGCACACGTCGTCGCCTTTTCGACATCTATGTGCCTAAGCTTCGATGGCGTGAAAGACAATTTGTACAGAAAATATTCCACTAAACTACAAAATTCAAACTCTAGACCATCGTAATTGTTAATAGGTATGTATGTTCCAGATCATGAAATTAAGTTGCTTGTCTGATCGACCTAATATCATTCAAATACTCCTCTGTTGCACGTTTACATAACTAACTTATAATTTAAGTGTTCTATGAAAACAACATTAAAATACACACTGATATTTCACGATTTTTTTTTTTAAAAATCAGTGTAATCCTCTCACTCACTCACTCACTCACTTATAAAAAATATGATTATAGTATAACACAATTCTATCAATAATAAATATTAACACAGACCCTTGATGGATTATAGATTATACCGCAAAATTTGTATAATCTCATGAAACTATGTGCATAATTTATGTATGATATTTGTTTGTCGACAAAGATAAAATGCTTTATTTTTTCTATCCAAAAATAATAATAAACGTATGTCGATCAGTAGTATTTATCAAATCTGTATACCGTGTACTATATATATATATATATATATATATATATATATATATATATATATTAGATGATATTAGTAATTAGGTATTTGATTTTATTGATAAATTTCATCTGGGTTTTTTTTTAAAAAAATGAAGTTGACAAAGAAATTTGATCTAAGTAGAGAGTTGAAATGATAAAAAACCTCCATCTGACTGACTGTTTGTGATAGAACTTTGAGATTTACTTATTAACAACTTATACGTCACATTAATTCAGTCAGTCAGTCAGACAGCTACAAACTTGGAACTTGGTACGCATGTGTACGTAAATCAGTTCAAGTTGTTATGCCTCGATTAGCACCGATAGAGATGGCATTGTTCAACTAAATAAAGTAGACGTACAAATATTAGCGGTAATCGAGAAGAATGCGGTTCCGGAGATATTGATTCAACTCTATATCGATGATAGTGAGAAATGATTTATCAACATGCATTCATGTTGAATAACTCGATCAACATAGACAATGAGGATGATTGTTGTTGTACAGATTATATTATTTCTTGTTAGTTAGTTAGCTAGTTAGTTACAACGTAGAACTTCGTACGTAAGTACATCAGTTCAAGTTGCCATACCACATTAGCACAAAGATATAATTGTCAGTTTAAATCCAATAGTGGTACAGATAGTTGAGGTATTACTGGTAATTGAGAAGATTAGGGTTCGAACATATTGTTTAAGAAGTATAATTCAGTGAGATAAATTTAGAAAGGGAAAGATAGAGATGATAAGGAATTCATAAGGTTAGAATTTCAAAGAACACAAAGAGTGAATGCACCTGCGCCAATGCAAACGGTTTTGAGCTATATCATTCAGAATCTCTAACCATCGATTATTATCATCTAGCGGACCCCAACCAGGTGGTCAACAACTACTGACATGACTCAGTTCACTTGTCAGTGACTTCATGGATTTCTGCCATGTTTTGATTTGGCCGCCCCTAGCTTTCTTCCAACCTACTCCTACACCGCAAAATATAGCTTGACGAGGCAGTCAGTGGTTAGGCATACGTAACACATGTCTCAACCGCCTCAATTGATGAAGTTTCATTACTTCATCGATTGATCTGCCATTCTTATCTAGCACCCGATTCCTAATAACAGCGTTGCTCACTCGGGTGTCCCACGATATACGAGCAATGCTTCGAAGACACCTATGATCGAAAACCAGTAACCTACGAATATCTTCTACTCTGACTGGTCATGTTTCACAGCCATAAAGCAAAACAGAGTGAACTACTGCACAGTACACTCATCCTTTAGTCAGCAAACGGCTATCTCGCCTACGCCATGAGTGACGCAGGTTAGCAAAAGCCAATCGAGGTTTCTGTATCCATGCTGAAATTACGTCAGTCACCAGGACATCAGCACTGATCAGACTTCCCAGATAATTAAAGCGGTCTACACGCTCGACTACTTCACTCCCTATCACTAGTTTAGGTACCGATGAAAAACAATAACGTAGTTTGAAAACAATTATCTAATAGAAGACAATGAATGAATGGATAGTTTTAAGTCTAATAGATTGTAAGACATATCACTCAATGTCTCCATTAATTAACGATAATCAGTGGAGTGAACCATAATAATCAGGTCGTTTACAACTTAACAGCGGAGTTGAATGTTACAATCAAAGTCTTTGTGAACTAATGCCATATGTTGGTTTTCTATACTCTTAGCCTACTTCCAATTTAATCCTAGACTAGGTGGATTTGTTTTACAACCCCATTGAATATAAATGATGTTTTGATAATATAGCAATTCGGTGCTGACGTTAAGTCGAAAATGAAAATATCATTTCACACACACACACACACTCACATATATCTATATACATTAGAAGATGATGATAACCGACATTAAATACTACAGTAGTGAACGAGAACACAGGTGGGACAACCGAATTGTATTTATCTCAAATTACAGAGTTAATTGGTAAAATAGGAAAACCATATCGTAAATCGTTCATTTGCAAAATATCAGTTCATCCTATCAAACTGGACTGTTCTTCCTGTTGCAAAACATCAATCGATTGTCACTCACTATTCATGCGTTTCATACACAAATTCCATTGTGTTCTAACTCTTCCTTTCTTGATCTTCCCCCCAACTTCTGCTGCAACCAGATATTACGTTGACGGTCACGTCATATACTACTTATAAGTAGCTCACACCACACTATTAAACTATGTTCGAATAATTAGAGTTCAAAATAAAAAGCCTATAAACATCCAAGGGTATGATGATATATGAACAGAATTTGTGTAACAGACTAAACAATCAGACACACACACATATACACATATATATAAACACATATATATAGCATTCAAAACCCAAATACTAACTTGTCAACACCAATGAAAAAGAAACTCACATTGTAAAATTATTTGGTTAGATAATTCAATAGATTTAAGTTCATCATGTTCCACGCTCATATTGGATTCTTTCATGGTTGTAGTATGTTTAGACGTTGTCGTCGCCGTCGTCGTTGGTGGTGGTGGTGGGGGAAGTAATGATGTTTGATAAGTAACATTGTTTGTTATTTGTTCAATAATATCGTACTGGGTTTGTTCAAGTCGTTCAAGTTTCAATTTTGTCTCATTTAATTGATCTTGAAAGAAAAAGAAGCAAATATGAAAACAAGATATAGTTGAATTAGTGGATCAATTATGAAATGTTTATTAGTAGTGAGGATATGAATAATGATCATTAGGACTATAGAGAGAATGAGGAGAATTCTACTATTTAAATGTAAAGAATTATACATGTTTTTCACACATTTGAAATCATCAATCAATCATTGTTAGACCATCATTAGAAACCTGGAAGTACAATGATTGATTGATGATTTCAAATGTGTAAAAACACTAATCTCCATAATTCTGCCTGAAAATATCGTTACAGTGATCACTAGTGACTAGCTTCGTGAGGAAATTCTCGGAGTTCGAGTTGAGAAGACGTGACCAATAGAGTTCAACCCTGTCGGGTGTAGGCAGTAACTATCAAAGACAAATAGGTGAGGTCGCGCGAAATCCGTAGATCAATCAGAGTTAGACATTAACACCGTTGGATGCCGGCCCAGTGGTCCGATGGTTAGGCGTTCGCGCACCATTCCGAAGGTCCCGGGTTCGAATCCTGCGAGATGCTGGAGTCGTGGATGCGCACTGCCACTGATGAGTCCCATACCAGGACGAAACGGCTGTCCAGTGCTTCCAGGTTTCTAATGGTGGTCAAACACTGATTGTTTGATGATTTCAAATGTGTAAAAACACAAAACTCCAAAGCTCTGCCTGAAAACTATACATGTGTTGTGAAAATGTTCAATCAGTCAATCAGTAGTAAACGCAGAACTTCGTACGTACGTTCAGCTCAAGTTGCCATACCACATTAGCACAGAGAGATCGAATCGTCGATTCAAATTTCACATTGGTAGAGGCAGTTAGCATTAGCGTTAAAGGAGAAGATTAGGGTCCGAAGATGTTATTCAAGAAGTATGATCTAGTAATATAAATTTAAAAAGAGAGAGATGAATGGGATGAGGAATTCAGAAGATTGGTGCCATTGCGAACGAATTGGAACCAGATTATTTAAAATCTATAACCATCAGTTACTATTGTCCCGCAGGTCTCAACCAAGTAATCTAAACTTACTAATGTGGCTCAGTTCGAATCTTATCATAAACACAAAACAGGCACATTGATGATGACAGGCCCATTAAAGTAATTTTCTAGAATGCATTTTCTCTCAAGATTTAGATTATTATTATTAATATTATTATTAGCCTGTAAAATAACTGAAACCATCTCCTCTTCCGTTTGCAATACTGTTTCATTTAAAAATATAACATCTTAAGTCTTTCTACTAAGAAAGTGTCAGTTCACATAATAAACTATCGATGATTCTAAAAGGTTTATGATGCTGTAGCGATGTTCATTTCTTAGGCTGTTTATATGCTCTTGTAATAGCGTTTATCAAGAACAACTCCGTGTATTATTATTTCACGTGAACTACATTCAAGCAGTACTTCTCCATATTTATAATATAATTTTTCACAATTTTATTAATTAACCCTCTATTGTCAAGGGCAATTTTACATTGGTTTTGCCGGAGAACCAAGGAGACTGTTCAAGCGTTACCATTTCTACATGAACAGTTAGGCTCAATCCTATGGTGCAACAAGACAGGTACCTGATACCCTTGTGGACCATTGACATCATTTATATACACTAGTACATATATAGTAATTATTTCCGATCAATGATCGCATCAATCAATATGCGCCGCATGAACATGCCGTTTCGACCCATCCCACTTACATGACTGTCAAACTCATTATTATTAGCAATGGTGATATGCAATACGGCACACCAATAACAATGGCCCTCGGGAATGTTGCAAAACAACAAGCACCTATATCAATGAAATCGGTCGCCCTGCTAAAAAATTTTGTATATGGACTGTTAGTAATGCTTACCGAAGCAATGCCAAGCCATCGACAATATTCACAGTGAACCTATGGTCTCATAGGAGACCTTCAGCTCTATATAGCATATATATATATATATATATATATATATATATATATATATAAATCAGATTGACAATATGGACGCAATAGTAACCAATCGGGATAATTCAAAATTTCCAGTTCCATGTTAACTAACTGGTTACAGGGGTAACTCAGTTTTCAACTAAACAAATAAAATCATGTTTTTCAAGTTGACAGTTACAGTAAAAGAAGCAATCTTTATTCTTTTTGTTTTCAACAAACATTAGAATGCCTTGAATGATATCCCCCGACCGTCGCTGCTACCTTGACGTGGTGGTCGGGCTTGACTATCGTGATGACCCAACCGAGCTATATTGGCTGGAACTTATGTTCCTGCAGGTCCTACCATGCCAGGCAGGTCGATTGGAGAACGATCAGACTAAAAGCAGCTACTCAAGGTCTGAGGGCGAAGTCGTACTGCTGACTGCAGAGGGGTGTGACAGCAGTAAGGTGTTTCCCTCGGACAACCAGCACCTGCAGCGATGCTGCCTTCTCACAAGGAAGGAAGGGTTAGAAAAGGTCGACCCTAAAAATGTCACACCTCCCCTACCTCACGAATTTCCGTCTCCTTGGGTAAGGGTGCCCACTGAGGGCCTTTAAGAGTGGAGTTAACACTCAAAAAGCTTCTCATAAAAAGGCCGTGCGTGACCGGCCTCAAGCAGTTGTCCCTCGGACTCTGCGGTCACGCTCCCAGGTCTCCAAGACCAACACTAATCTATCTTCCTTTTCAGGTTCCTCAAGAAACAACCTTCCACGGTGTGGGCAGCCGGGAAGTGACAACCGCTCTCATACCCGTAACAGCACTCGAGACCAAATTGGTCGAAATCAAATCCTTCCTACACCCACACATATCTCTCTTCTCTCCACAACTAACTCTACTCACATTCCCTTATCTGACTGCGCCGCTAATGCAAACAATGGGAGTTCACGAAACGTCATTCCTGGTCTCTTGAAACCTCGTTCTAACCTCTCCGATTACTTCTAATACCTTTACTACCTCTTCTACTATTGGATTTGAATTGACAATTACATCTCTGTGATAATGTGGTATGGCAACATGAACTGATGTACTTACGTACGAAGTTCTACGTTGCATCTGACTGACTGACTTGAATGATATCCAACTTTGGGCATATGATATCATTAAAAAAAAACTGATCCGATTATATAATGAATGATAACCGAAAGAATTTGCTAGAAATGAGAATATGCCAAAGAACGAAGTCCTTACGGTCTTTGAGTAAACAGGTGAATTACATGTGAATAAATGAAAAAAATAATAATCTCGATGTCCTTAAATACAATCACATATAAGTAGGTATATATTGAATACGCATGCGAATAATGGCGTACAATTGGCAAAAAAAAGAACAGAATGAATTCAATCAATGAAATTTATGAATTCCTAGAACCTATTGCTCCTGGGTTCGATTCCCATGTAAGGAGGCTGGTCTTAGATACGCACTGCAGATGCATCTCTCATACAATGAAGAACTAACTGTTCAATGTTTCAGATGATGATGATGATGATGATGATGGTAGTCTTAATAACAATGATCAATTAATTATTCAATGTGACAGCGCACATTATACTACACATTTAAACTATCCGCGTTATCACAAAAACAAACAAGCAATTTTTTAAACAATTAAAAATGAACAAAAACAATTGGGTTTTATAAAACCATCTTACCTACCTAAAATATATTCAAATTGTTTATTTTGTTTTTGTGAAGTAATTGATAACATTTCCAAATGATTTAAAATTTGATTCATTTCATGATTATTATTACTTCTTCCGTTGTTGTGGTTGTTGTTGTCATTGTCGCTGACAATGTGATTATCATTATTATTATTATTATCATCATTGTGATCATAGTTAGTGTTTTGTCTAACTTCTTTGTCGATATCATTGATTGTTGTGTTGAAAATATTTTCCTCTTTTAAAATTACCTTTAAATCTTCAAATGATTGATAATGCGAACAATCATCATTACCGACTTCTTGAACGATATGATCAACAACAGCGGCACCGTCGCCGGCTTCAACACCTCCACCTACACCACCACCACCATCATCATGATCATTATCATGATCATCATCATCGCCGACATCAATGTTCATCATGAGATGATGAGTAGTAATAGTTGATGGTGTTGTATTTTGTAAATTGGTTTCTTTTATTGTGTTAATGGTAGTAGCAGTAGTAGTAGTTATAGTAGTAGCATTCAACTCTAATGCATTGTCATTAGACAGCGATGTTCTGAATGAAAAAGGCGGAGGAACTAGTACCAATGACGGAGATAATGTAGTTGATGGTGTCGTTGTTAACGTTGTTGCTGTGGACAAAATCATAATGTCATTGTCATTATTAGTAGTATATGTTTGATTATTTAAACTATTATTATTATGATTATGATTATCATGAGTTGGACTATTGAAATTTAATAGGATTTGATCCGTTGCAGTGACTAGTGCAAACATTTAATACAATCAATTGAATAAAATTAATAAACGAATATAACTAATAATAACAATAATAATGTTTAAATCATTCGATGAGATATTTTCATACATATATGATATATTATTGTTACACCTTTAACAAATCCTTCACTCCCTATCATTAGCTCAGTTGATAGGAAGCGAATTAGCTGAGCGCGTTGACCATTTCACTTATCGCACGAGTCGCATCTGTGTACTGATGGCCTGGTGACTGACGAAATCACAGGATGAATACAAAAGGCTCGACTAACTTTTGCCAACTTACGTCACTTATGGCGTGGGCGAGAATTCTGTTTGTTAATAAAAAAAATGAGTATACTGCACTGCGGTTCGCTCCATCTAGCTCCATGGGTATGAAACATGATCAGTAAGAGTAGACAATATTCGTAGACTACTGACATTCGATAATAGGAGTGTTGCAGTTATTGCTCGTGTATTCTGAGAATATCGAGTAAGTAATGTTGGTGTTATGGAAAAGAGCACTAGGTAAAGATGTCAATCAATAGATGAAGTAGTGAATGTTCATCATTTGAGGTGGTTGGGACATGATGTGTTATATATACCCAACCACCGACGGTCTCGACGAGCAATTTTGTCTGATATAGAGGTAGACTTGAGGAAGAAAGCTAAGGGGGGGGGTTAACTAAAACATGGAACAAATCCATGAAGTCGTTAACTACTAGACTGAATCATTCAAATAAAAAATGGTCCAATTGTAATTTGATCAAGAAGATTAAGTCAGTTTAAATGAACTAGACAAACTTAAAATCAGTTATATCTCAATCACAATCACTGCATACTTATAACATGTGCAGTATTGGTTTGGAGTGGAGCGTTTTTCTTACTCCCCATAGATGGATTCTTTAGACACACCAACTGGTTTAAATGGACGGGCACTAGCTTTTCGTACTGGCAATTTCGTAGACAATATTCTTGTTGTTCGAGAAGGCAGTGAATGGGAGTTGCTTTGAGCTACTCACGTAAAGTTGTTAATTTTCACTTATTGGTGCCATGTAGTAACGATTTTGTGTGCATCATAAAAGAATGTCGAAAACAGTCAAGTCTTCTATCCATTTTGTAAATTGGCTACTAAAAAGGGACATCTACATATTGATTGGTGTACGAGACATTACAGAAATATATCATGTTGAACCCTTTAAAGTAATCGAATCCTACAATAGATAAAGTGTATGTTGTCAGACTTGCAACTGAATACTTGAAAAAAAGTATAACGTTTTAATATTAATGAACGAACTAAGAAAATATCACATGTACATTGTTGATATAGAATACGAAGTATTATGGGTAAAGGTAATTTTACATCGGTTTCCATGAGAACCGTTCACAGCAGTTATAACCACCAACCCATGAGATCGCGTCAATCAATATGCCAGTAGGTCAACTGGACACAGTTCGCTTACATGACTGTCAAACTCATTATAATTAATATTATTATTAGTAATGGTGATATTCACTACAACGTCCTAATGAAAATGACCCTCGGGAAGTTCGCAAGACAACCACCGCCACCGCCCTCAGTATCAATTTGTACGTGGACTAACAGTAAAACTTGTCAAAGTAATGCCAAACCATCACCAGAAATGTTTATCATAACGAATCTTTGGTCTCATAGGAAACCTTCAGTTCTATATATATATACATATATAGCAATATATATATAACTAATATACATTGTAAGCAAATACGATAAAAGATAAAAAACAATCAGAATGAATTCAATGTCAAATCACCTGATAGAAGATTGTCTACAGAATCAGGTAGTTCATCGTCAGAATTAATTATTTCCTCATTATCATTATTATCTTTATGATCATTGAGAATCACAGTTTGATGATGATGATGCTGTTGATGATGATGGGTTGTTGTGGTAATTTCACTCTGAGGTGTATAACAATCATCTGTATTGCATAATGTTTGCAAACAATTTTTAGATGAAGAAAAGTCAGCAATTGTAGTTTTATCCATATTCTTCAAAATCGATTCATCAAGGCTAGTATAGAAAAGAAAATGTTTTTTTTATAAAAAAAATGTAAAAATTTGTTATAGTACTTAGTGTAGAAGATATTGTTGAATTATTTTGAAACTGTGAATTGATCAATGCTAGATTACCATTAGAAAGAAACCTGCAAGCAATGGATGGGCTATTTCATTTTTGTATTGGGATGCCTCGGAAGTGAGTGCATCGCATCCACGACACTGCAGGCGGGTACCGAAACCAGGAACTTCGATTGTGGATGCACATTGTGGAGAAATCTCATACAATGACAAAACTGGTCGTCTCTAACATTGGTCAACTCATGATTTCAGTGAAAAAAAAATTGCGGATCATAAGATTCGATCAATACAGTCAAAATCAAAAATGTTTATCAACTCAAGTTAATCTATTACACATTAATACAGGTGGATTGAAACCAGATAGTATGAGCATTTTTCAGACTAAAAGTCATTAACTCTATAAACTAACATGAAATTTTCAATTGTTCAGCGCTAGCTTACTTTGAACGTACTCTCCCACAAAGATTGTGTGTAAAGATAAATGGTTTAGCGTAGAGATACCACATATTCCAGTTAGTAAAGTCGATAAAGATTTTATTTTTCGAGTTAACCGATTTGTCAACTATTTTGATAAAATATTTGTTTTTCAAAATAGTTTAAACGTCCCTAATGGCTGATCACTGGTATATAGTTTACATAGAACAGATAGAATGTGGTTTAACAGTAAAATGCAAAATATGTATTTCGTTCTATTGACTCTAGATAGTTACTAAGTGGAAAACGTGATGACATTTGAACCGTTGAAGGTACTGGGTTCGAGTTCTGGTGTGAACATCAATTCTGAGGCGTAGATATATCCAGCTGACGAATTCACTGATAACTAACTATACATACACTGACAAGATTTCAACTGGATCATCGCCATGGAAATAAGATTCATTAGTAATAAACGATAGGACACACACTACGAAAAGCACCTAACTGCGTCACGAGACAAGCCCTCACTTGGAACCCTCAAGGCAAAAGGAAAAGAGGAAGGCCAAGGAACACATTACGCCGAGCAGTAGAGAAAGATATGAGAGGAATGAACAAACATTGGACAGAGCTGGAGAGGGAAGCCCAGGACAGAGTTGGTTGGAGAAAACTGGTGGGCGGCCTATGCTCCTTTGGGGGTAACAGGCGTAAGTAAGTAATAAACGGAAATTGGCAATGATTTTTATCAAATCAAAAAAACTGTGTATCATAACAACTGCTGAATGTGCTTCTTGTCAATTTAGTCAAAGTCATTTTCTGTACGTATAATATTAAAATTCTATTTATTGTATCCAAATCATTTCAATTAATTCATTTTAATCTAGACATATTTCATGTTATCTAGATAAGTTATGAACAAGATTTTATATGATTTTTACATGTCCTTAATCTACTTTTTTTTTCACTAGCTCTCAATATGGATTGTGTGTGTTTAATATGAGGAACTGGTTGTTCTAGTTTTACAGTCGTTTTGTTTTAAAGTGTACTGATTTAAGTATGAGTCAGCCTACCTAACCCTTAACCTACATTGATTTTTCTTTTGGATCTATCCAGAATTCTTGCTGTACAGTTGTTAAATAATTCTCACAGAAGAAACATCACAGTGAAAAATGGTAAATCAATAAAATAAAATGAATGTTTCCAGCTTGAAAAAATACACGCCAAGTCCATAAGTGATTTTTGATTACACATTTGAAATCATCAATCAATCCTTGTTAGACCACCATTAGGAACCTGGAAGCACTGGACGGCCGTTTCGTCCTGGTATGGGACTAATCAGCAGTGCGCATCCACAACTCCTGCACCTCACAGGATTCGAACTAGGGACCTTCGGCATTGTGCGCGAACGCCTAACCACCGGACCAATGGGCCGGCATCCAACGGTGTTAATGTCTAACGCTGATTGATCTACGGATTTTGCGCAACCTCACCTATTTGTCTTTGGTAGTTACTGCCTACACCCGACATGGTTGAACTCGATCGGTCATGTTTTCTCGACTAGAACTCAGAGAATTTCCTCCCGAAGCTAGTTACTAGTGAGCACTGTTAAGATATTTTGGTGCAGATTTTTGGCGGTTTTGTGTTTTTACACATTTGAATGCGCACTGCTGATGAGTCCCATACCAGAATGAAACGGCCGTCCAGTGCTTCCAGGTTTCTAAAGGTAGTCTAACAAGGATTGATCGATGATTTCAAATGTGTAAAAATCACAAACCTCCAAAACTCTGCACGAAAATGATCTTTTATTAGCTTATAATCACTTCAGTGAACATCCATTACCCCATAAGCGGGAACAGATCTGGCGCCTAAACGCTTAACCTCTAGATTATTGAGCCGAAATTATAAAAAGTGTTATTTATTGTTTGGCTTCAATCACTCCACAATATTGTACGACTATCATCCATTGTCATGACAAGTGAAAAGATTCATTAAAAAAAAACTAGAATAAAATAACATTCATCATAGGTATTATGAAGAGATGGTTGTTTTCCATCGAGCCAGCATCGAATGATGTTAATGCCTAAATTTGGTTGACCCGGTGATGTTGCGCAACCTCATTCATTGACATGAAGGTAGTTACTGCCTACACCTGATAGGCTTGGGCTCAACTGGTCAAGGCTTGTCACTGAGACTCCGAGAGTTGCCTCATAAAAGTAGGGTTCGATTCTCGAGAGCAGGGGTCGCGGATAAGCATTGCAGAAGAAAATTATACTAGAACAAAACAGCCGTGAAGTGCATCCAGATTTCGAATGGTGGTCAAACAATGATAGATTGATGATTTTAACAGAAAATAGAAAAAAAAATTGAAACTTACTATTCCTCAGGTGACTGATTCTTTAACAATGTAACAGTTAGAACATCTGAAAGTTTATCCGCTTCTGGTGGTTCATATTGACTGGGTGAAATTGTCTCCATATTGGAATTAGAATGATTATCGATTTGAGTTTCAGTCAAATTATTTACATTTGCTAAACTCTTCTCCATAAACGATTGAATTTCCAAATTATCAGGCATCAAAGAATGATGGCTAGAAATGTTTGTTTTGAAAAAAATATAGTGAAAAAGAAAGAGAATGCTATGAGGAAAATCTCCTCCGTCACTGTTAGGATATTTATTCATCAAATATCATAAGAGAACTACTTTTGGAAGTCTAATTCTACTGGTCGATTCCTATCGGTCAATTTTATGGTCGTCATGACTATCAATGTCACTCCAAATGATGTTTCCCATTGGACGCCCTAACTATCAATGTCACAGACTTCGACGTCGTTTCTTATTCGACCTAACTGTATAAATATGCATTATTTGTAAAGCTATTACACTCTATTTATTCCTTCCTTCATCTCTTCTGTACTCGACCTCATAAACAACTTCATCTAACGGTGTTGTGTTCTGGTATATTATATTGGAGATTTGGGAACAGTATGTGGGATCGGATTGGAATATCTGAATTTGGACGTCGGTAGCATTTCGAATAGCTACATAGCGTCATTATAACAGTCATCTAGTTTATTTTTAGCTAGTTTTGTTTTGAATATTACACTGGCATTTATCAAAATTCTAATGATATAATCTTATTCGATTGTCATTATGACTTTGAAGTTTTTTTTTCCAACTACGGATAAAACTCCAGGGTTGTTCGCTATTTTTACTTTGGATCTAGTAATCAAAGTAAACTTTTTTTCCGGAGCTTCAAAGTAGAAAACTAAAGCATCAAATTTTTTAATAATTATAGTAATTACAAAAGGTGTACTTTTAAAAAGGCCATAAGTAATTGAGGACGGTTTCCACAATAAAAAAAAATACCACTTTATCCTACTACGGATGTGTAAAGTGTAGTGTAAATCAGTCAGTTAGTCAGCCGCAACGTAGAACTTCGTACGTGTTTGTATATCAGTTCAAGTTGACATGCCACATTAGCACAGAGATGCGATTGCCAATTCAAATCACAAAGCGATGGAGGTTGTAGCAGTAGAAGTAGTAATGGAGAAGACTGAGCATCGAAGTTAGTATTCGAAAAGTATATCACAGTGAAATAAATTTACAGCGACAACGGACAGTCATGAGGAATTCAGGAGATTACAGTTTGAGAGAATATAAAGAATGGATGTATCTGCGCCACTGTAAACGATCGTCAGACATGTCATCCAAAGTCTCTAACCATCGGTTACGACTACTTCGCGGATCATTATTATGTTACTCCCAGCCGATGCAGGTCTCTTCAATCTTCCCATAGACCTACATATACATATCAAACAGTTATAAATACGAATCGCACACCTTAAGTATTCTTTTAGGCGCGTAAAAATTACTTTGCATGCAATTCTTACACTTGAGGTAACTAATAAGCCCATGTGTGTAATGTACGAAGAGATCGACACCAGATGGGACATACACATTTCATCCACCGAATATCCTAGATAAAAAACTTCAACTACTCTGCTATTTGTTTCTGAAAATTTCATTTCACTGTATTGATTTGATGTAGGAACCTGAATCAATGCACATATATGTCAGATTCTATGTTATTTCTATTTGATCAAGTGTTGTATGCTAGCAGTCTTTAACAGTGATGTCCAAGTGAAGGGAATCGTCAAAAAAACAACTGAAAGGTACATACATACATCTCTCTGTTCACACACTAGGCGTATAGCAGAGATTAAATATCTATAAAAACGTATCGACCAAACTTTTATTGACCAACTAATTTGAAATTAATTTATTTAATAATGTAGTCAAGAGCTTGTTTGTCAATTGGCATAAAGAAGTAGTACGGTCATATTCGATTTAGATTGGCATATGTGCATCCTCTGTAGACTGCAGCCGCAATATAACCATTATGACACAAGTTTATAAAGAATAGATAGAATATGAATAACAGTCGAATTTACAATGTGCGTTTCGATCCGTTCAAGACTTATCACAGTTGGATGCACCTAGATCCTACTGTTAATGTTTACACTGGAACTCAAACTCAGTACCTATCATCTCAAACGGCAACGCTTTATCGATAAACTTGTAGCTGCATTCGGCTGACGAGTTGTTAGCAGGAAGAAACGCCTGTCACAGATTATATTACTGGTTATATTTCATCTAGTTTATGAAAATAGATAGCGTTTGGGCACGTAGATCAATGGCTTGATCTTTTGAGCGCTTAGTTCTACGTCTATACGTCATACAAGTTGAATAGTAATTTGTAGCTGAGCGTCGTTCCTACTACAATCTTATTAATTCTCTTCTTACACCAATAATTGCATACATTGAGGAAATCACTCGACTGTGTAACAAGACAAGCCCTTAGACGGAGTTTTCAAGGCCAATGGAAAAGAATATATTACATTGAGAAGTGGAGACGGACATGAGATGCATGAAGAACAATTAGACAGAACTAGCAAGGAAGGCCCTGAGACAGATTACATTGGAGAATGCTGGTCAGCGGCCTACAGTCCCCAGGAGGTAACAGGAACAAGTAAGTAAGTAAGTAAGCAATCATAATAATTACGTATTATTCGATGGAAAAACAAGAATGAATCCATAACTTTCTAAATATACACAACTAATATCAAGTAGGCACACTTTCAATAACGAATAACAGCATGAGAAAAGATGAACACATATAATAAACAATATAAGGGAATAATTATTTCACTTACTCTAAATCTTTCCTAGTAAGTGTTTCAAAAGGATTTTGTTCATTAGGAGGAACCTTAAGAAGAATGAACAACAAATGAGTTAAGCATTTTTTTTAATGATTAAAATTCTATTTAAAACTATATGATAAAATGATAATCAACAAAAATAATCGATATAGTGTAGTTAACAGTTAGTTCATGAATAGGTAGTATTACAGTTTTCTAACATTGGGTTTTATTAAACTAAATTATTTCGCATTGAATTTGTGATTTAATCATCGTTAGATTATCATTAGAAACCGAACCACACATTGGATGACCTTTTCATCCTAGTATGAGACTCATTAGCAATGTACATCCACGACTCTTGCTAATCGCAGTAATCGAATAAAAGACCGGCCTTGCGCGCGAACACTTAACCTCTAGACAACTGATACTGCATCTAACGGTGTTAAGACAGACAGACAGACAGATACAACACAGAACTTCGTACATAAGTACATCAGTTCAGGTTGCCATGCCCTATCAGCCCAGAGACGCAACTGTCAGTTCAATCCCAAGAGTGATAGCAATAATAGAAGTATTAGCAGTAATGGAGAAGATTAGGGAGCGAAGATTTGATTCGAGAAGTATAATTCAGTAAGATAAATTTAGGAGAAAGATAGAGATTATGAGGAATGAAGAAGCTTAGAATTTCATAGAACACAAAGAGTGAATGCACCCGCGCCATTGCAAACGATTCTGAGCCATGTAGTTCAAGGTCTCTAACCATCGGTGACTATCGCCTCGCAGACCCCAACCAGGTAGCCTACATCTATCAACATGACTCAGTTCACTTGTCAGTGTTAATGTCTAACTCTGATCAATTTAAGGATTTTGCATAACCACACCAATTGTCTTCGGTAGGTAACTACTACTGCCTACATCCGACAGGATTGAACTCTGTTGATTATGAATACGTACTGATGATGAGTGTGCTACACTAGGACGAAATAGTCATCAAGTGCTTCCAGGTATCTTAATACTGGTCTAAAAAAAATGATTCACTCATGATTTCAACAAAAACAGGAAAAAATCGTTTAAGCATATTATATTTAGTCAAGTCAATTTCACGTACAGAAAGAACTAAAAATCATAAATTTATTCGAATTAAATTAGCTGTTAAACAATTAAAACGAATGTTATCTATTTGTAAATATGAATGACTAAGTCAAAGATAGAAAATAATTCAAAATATGTACTAATATTATTCTGACACCATATGGCTTATGTTAAATTTTCGGAAAAAACTAATTGATACATTCTTCTCCAGGTATTGTTTACGTGTTAATTATACAATTTATACTTTAAATATTTTTTTAATTGAGTGGGTGTGTGTACATTGGTTACTTCGCAAGTCACATGTCTATACTATTGTTGTCAGATTATAAATACTTAATCATGGCCTCATCACATTCAGTTGGCACATTGACCTTCTTCTTCTTCTTCACTTTATTACTATTCTCTTTTAGGCTTCACGAATAATTTTCTAATAGCCAAGGCCTCCATAAACCTCAAAATTCGTCATTCAACATTTCTATACAATGTTTTGAAGGTTGTTTTAATGTCTTGATGTGTGGACACACATACATAGGGAGGAGTAATCGGACTTTGCAATCAAGGGTTATGGAACATGCACTTAAGTGGCTTCAAAATCAGTTAACGTCAGATGAGCCGATTAGCGTTGGAAATAGAAAACCGTGTTCATCGATCGCGAAACACATAGAGACAGGGCATAAGACTGACATCAAGACAGCCTTCAAAACATTGTATAAAAATGTTGAAGGACGAATTTCGAGGTTTATGGAGGCCTTGGCTATTAAAAAGTTAAAACCCCCCTTATATGTGCAGAAAAAATTCACCAATAATGTATGAAATTGGAGTCCAATTCCGAGCCACTAAAACTATCACAATGATCACTATCCTTGATGTAATAATGAACGCGAAACAAAGTAGATTTGTTTCAGTCAGCTAACTTCAATAGGATTGTACAACACATGACAAGGTATGTCTGTATTACAGTGACAAACTTTAGCCATAGTTCAAAGGTCAAATAAAACCAATATGGTTTAACAATTTTCCAGCTGTGTATGCTACTCAAAGTCATTCTCTAATCATTCAATAGTAGCGGTTATCACGCGAAACACCAACCAACCAGATAGTCTATTCATTCATCACTCAGTTCAATTTTTAATGAATTCATAAACTGGTACCATGTCATCAACCAATATCGTTTGTTGACGACGTAGGCAATGATTGAACATGCTTGAACATATGCTTCAATCACCCCGGACTGATGATGACGATTGACTAACATATGAAATTGCATTGCGGGGTTGTTGTGAAGATTACTAAGTTTTATTTGTAACCATGAATCGATCAATGTTAGACCACCATTAGAAACCTGGAGTGACTAGCTTGGTGGGGAATCTTCTCCGAGTTCTAGTGGGAAGTCGTGACCAGTGAAGTTCAAACCTGTCCGGATGTATACAGGGTATGAGGTCGCGCAACTCCGTGAATTCGATTAAGTTAGACATTAACACCGTTGGATACCGGCTCAGTGGTCTAACGGTTAGGGCGTTCGCGCACAATACCGAAGGTCCCGGGTTCGAATCCTGCGAGGAGCAGGTAGTCGTGGATGCGCACTGCCACTGATGAGTCCCATACCAGGACGAAACGTCCGTCCAGTGCTTCCAGGTTTCTAATGGTGGTCTAACATTGATCGATTCATGGTTACAAATATAACATATGAAAACAACTTACCACCTTCTTTACAATATAGTACACAATCATCAGCATTACTTAACTTGATGCATAAAAATTACAGTAAGTAAGCGCACAAGATTAAAACAGTAATGGAGAAATAAACAACATAATAAGCTTCAACAAGGGGTTGACTTAAAGGTCATAACAATTCATAGCTCAAAATATTGATTACAACTATCATATACGACGAATAGTGATTATTGTGATTATGTGCAACTAATGAAATGATTCAGTCTATAATAGACACTGACTTTGCTAATCACATGTGTACCCCAACCTATGATACATCAGTTAAAATGAAGATACACACAGCTAGTTTTTGTCTGAATCAATTCACTAATGAAAAAAAATGACATATTTCACATACAAATGTGTGTAATCCAACTTATGATTGATTCAATTACTAATTATAATAGTAATAATAATAATCCAAGCAAATAATACACTGGCAAAATTCATATATTTTTTTGTTCTTAAGATTCGAAAATATCTTTTATTATTTGAACAAGTGTTCATTCATTCTTTTCAGAATCACGAGTAAAGTTGTTGCTTTTTTTCCTTCTGATTTATATGACCGCGTGATTTTTGTCAACTTTTGATTGATTAGCATCAAAATTATTTTGAATTTGTTTAGTGTTAGGCTTAGTTATAGTTATAAACGTATATATATATATAATAGAGTTATTCTTTTTTTGCTTTGAGTTCCAACGCTAGGGAGCATGCCCGACCGTAGCTGCTACCTTGACGTGGTGGTCGGGCTTGCCTATCGTGATGACCCAACCGAGCTATACTGGCTGGAACATATGTTCCTCAAGGTTCTACCATGCCAGACAGGTCGATTGGAGAACGATCAGACTAAAAGCAGCTACCCAAGGTCTGAAGGCGAAGTCGTACTGCTGACTGCAGAGGGGTGTGACAGCAGTAAGGTGTTTCCCTCGGACAACCAGCATCTGTAGCGATGCTGCCTTCTCACAAAGAAGGAAGGGTTAGAAAAGGTCGGCCCTAAAAATGTCACACCTCACCCTACCTCACGGATTTCCGTCTCCTTGGGTTAGGGTGCCCACTAAGGGCCTTCAAGAACGGAGCTAATCCTCAAAATACCTTTCATAAAAAGGCCGTGTGTGTCCGGCCTCAAGCACTTGTCCCTTGGGCTCTGCGGTCACGCACCCAGGTCTCTAAGACCAACACTAATCTATTTTCCGTTTCAGGTTCCTCAAGAAACAACCTTCCACGGTGTGGGCAGCCGGGAAGTGAAAACCGCCCTCATACACGTAACAGCACGCGAGACCAAATTGGTCAAAATCAAATCCTTCCTACACCCCCTAGTACCTCTCTTATCTCCACGACTAACTCTTCTCACATTCATTTATCACAGTGCACAGCTAATGCAGACGACACGAGTTCGCGAAACGTCGTTCCTGGTCTCCTTAAACCTCGCTCTAGACTACATGTTGGAGCATTTTTCGACGAGGCAGTCGGTGGTCAGGCATACGCAACACATGTCCCAACCACCCCAACTGATGAAGTAATTGAAGCATATCAAGTTGACACATATTTACGTGTAGGCGTAACAAGATATCAAGCTCCAAAAAAGAAAAAAACAAAGAAATGATTTGTGCTTGAGGTTAGCACAACATTATTCCATAAAAACAAGAACTATAACTAGTGAAATACGAGATAAATTCAAACTAGACAGTAAGCAAACGAACATGTAAAACAAAACAAAGAAAACCAGACTTACTTCACCCGATTCAACATGCTCTTGATCAGCATCATTCATGTGAAGTAATGAACAAGATGACGAAGAAGAAGGAATCGATTTCGACAGATCGTTATTACCAGAAATATCAATAGTTGTCGGGGGAATAGGATCAGTTCGTTCATGATGATGATGAATTGCTGGTTCAGTTGACGATTGTCTCAATATATTTGTAATTAATTCAACCTTCTCTGAAAATTAAAATTAAAAAAGAAAACGAGTATATTTATGAATGATTAGTGGAATAGTGGTAGCAGTACTAGTAGTGTGGTGCGCGCTACTTATAAGTAGTATATGACGTGAGTGTCAACGTAATGTCTGGCAGCGGAAGATAGGGAGAGATCAAGAAAGGAAGAGTTAGAACACAATGGAATTTCTATGAAACGCATGAACAGTGACAATGGATTGATGTTTTGCAACAGGAACATTCCAGTTCGATATGATGGACTGATATTTTGCAAATTAACGATTTACGATATGGTTTTCCAATTTTACTGAGTAACTCTGTAATTTCCTCTAGATACAATTCGGTTGCCTCACCTGTGTTCTCCTTCACTACAGTAGTAGTAGTAGTAGTAGTAAACACTGTTATTTTTGTCCACTCATAATAGTCATTTTGAATTAATTAAGTTTTATCGATCAAGTTGCATTGTGACGAACTATTCTAGTCTAACTGACTAGATATCATGTGTACTGTGCTGAGATAGTTTTATCAGATAAGTTGATGTAATTCGTTCGCATTATAATAAAATCCAAACTCCATCCATCATCGAAGCTTCACAATTATAACTAGTAAAACACTATTTGAACTGTAAATGATTGAGTATCCTTACCAACTATCCTCCAAACAAGAAAAAATGGAAATTCAGTTCTTTGTTTTTAGTATATGATAAACATATATATTTGATATATCCATAATCAGATCAAGAAAGGATAAGCTTAAGATAGACTAAGCTGCTGAATGCTAGTCAGCGGTCTATTATGCACCAATAGGGGTAAATACTAAAGATGTTTTAAATCTCTCAATTAAATGAATTGTCATGCAATAAAAAATATATATGATAACAAATAGAAGGTGTCATTAGATTTTTGCATCAGAGTCGTATGATGCTACACAGTTAGTCAGTTGCAACATAAAATTTTTTTACATGTGTACACATTAGTTCAAGTTGTCATAAAAAAAAACATCAGCACAGAGAGAGGGATGAATTGGCCTTTTTTTTATTTGTTATTTCATAACAATACTTTTAGAATTGTTTCTACATTCTCTTTTACATGGAATATAATGATAACTTCTCTGTAAAAAAAAACTTCCCCACTATGTATGATATTTTATATATTTTATGGAAATTGTTGTTTTTTTGATTTAAATCATGAATTAAGTATTGTTAAACCCCATCACTGAGAAACCTCGAAGCACTTAGAAGGCCGTCTCGTCATAGGATGGGATTCATTAGCGGCAGTGCGCATCAATGACTTCCGGCTCAAAGAAATCGAACCTGAGATCGGTCGTGAGCGTGACTGCTTAACCTCTATGCCACTGAGACGGCAGTCAGTCAGTCAGTCAGTTGCAACGTAGAACTTCGTACGTAAGTACATCAGTTCATGTCGCCATACCACATCAGCACAGAGATATAATTGTCAATTCAAATCCAATAGTAGAAGAGGTAGTAAAGGTATTAGAAGTAATCGGAGAGGTTAGGATTAGGAGATATTATTCATGAAGTATGATTAAATGAGATAAGTTTAGAAAGTAAAAACTAGAGGTGTTGAAGAACTCAGAAGATTAGGATTTGAGAGAACATAAAGAATAAATGCACTGGCGCCATTGCGAACGATTTTGAGCCATGTCATTCAAGGTCTCTTGCCATCGATTATTATGATCTCGCGGACCCCAACCAGGTAGTCGACAATTACCGACATGGCTAAGTCCACTCGTCAATGACTTCATGGATTTCTGCCATGTTTTGGTCTGGCCGCCCCTAACTTTCTTCCAACCTATTCCTACACTACAAAACAAAGCTCGACGAGGCAGTCGGTGGTTAGGCATACGCAACACGTGTCCCAACCACCTCAACTGATGAAGTTTCACCACTTCATCGATTGATCTGCCATTCTTACCTAGTACCCGTTTCCTAATAACAGCGTTGCTCACTCGGTTGTCCCACGATATACGAGCAATGCTTCGAAGACACCTATGATCGAAAACCAATAACCGACGAGTATCTTCTACTCTCATTGGCCATGTTTCACAGCCATAAAGTAAGACGGAGCGAACCACTGCGCAGTACACTCGTCCTTTAGTCAGCAAACGGATATCTCGCCTACGCCATAAGTGACGCAGGTTGGCAAAAGCCAATCGAGCCTTCTGTATCCGTGCCGAGATTTCGTCAGTCATCAGGCCATCGGCACTGATGAGACTCCCAAGATAAGTGAAGCGGTCTACACGTTCGACTACTTCACTCCCTATCACTAGTTCAGGTGCCGTTGCAACCCAATCTTGAAGCAACATTTTGCATTTCGAGGGGGAAAACCGCATCCCGAACATGCTTGCATTGTTGCTTAGGGTAGTCAGAAGACTCTGCATTTTGTCAGCGTCTTCACCAAGTAGGACAATGTCATCGGCATATTCTAAGTCAATAAGCGAGCCACCTGGTAAAAGGTCTACTCCCGAAAATTCAGACGAGGATAAGGTTATTTCTAGGAGCATGTCTATGATAAAATTAAACAAGAATGGAGAGAGTGGACATCCCTGACGGACACCACTTGATGTAGAGAATTCCGGTGACACTTCGCCATAAGCTCTCACTCGACCAGTGGTGTTTGAGTAGAGAGCTTGTATGAGGTTAATGTACTTATTTGGTACACCTTTCAATGACAGACACTGCCACAGAACCTCACGATCCACTGAGTCAAATGCCGCCTTAAGGTCCAGGAAAACAACTATTGTAGGACGCCTATATGTGTGTCTGTGTTCCAGGACCTGTCGTAGTGTGAAAATGTGGTCTATACAGCCACGTCCAGGTCGAAAACCAGCCTGGTTTTCTCGAGTCTGCTCTTCACGAGCTTTCGTTAAGCGTCGAAGTATTATTGAGGCCAATATTTTAGATACTATATTAGTTAGACTTATTCCCCTGTGATTGTCACAAGAAGACTTCTGTCCTTTCTTATAGATTGGGACAATCAGTGATTGAGACCAGTCGGATGGGATTACGTCCAGTTCCCAGATTCTACCTAAGATCTCAGTCAACCTAGCTGCTAAAACTGGACCACCATCCTTAAAAATCTCAGGGGTCAGTCTATCAGGACCTGCAGCTCGTCCTCGCTTCAGATTTCCTAAAGCTTTTTCAACTTCATTAAGACTAGGGGGACTTAGGTCGATTTGCCATTCAGGATGACCGGAGATCGTGGGTAACTGAAAAGTGGCTCGAGGCCAGTTGAACTGATCCCTAAAGTGTTCTGCCCATCGATCCAGTCTCCTGGATTGAGAATGAATACTAGTCCCGTCATTTTCTGAGATAGTCTCGCTTACACTAGGATTCCTAATACCAGTTTCCTTGATAAGTCGGAAAAGTTGTCTACTGTTGCCGATCGCCGCTGCCTTTTCCATCGCTTTTGCTTTCGCCACCCACCACTGTTCGCGATCGTTACGTAGGCTTTTTATAAGTCTGCGCCTAAGTTGACTTCGTTCTTCATCATGTTCAGAGCCAGGTGGGATGAGTTTTCGGGCATCCATCAGATCGGTGGATGCTACTGAGATCCACGGTTTCATTCTAGCCTTATGGTCAACCTTACTAGCAGATATCACTGCTGTTTCCACAGCCTTTTTGATATCATTCCATCCTGCTTCCGGATGGGAATCGCTTAAATGGTCGCCTAACTGCCTTTCTAGTTGTTCCTGAAATATATTTTTCGCCTTATTATCATTAAGTAAAACCCTAAGAGGCTTTCTTACGGTGTCTATCCTACGCCCAGTAAGCTTCAAACAAATACGCGCTCGCACTAGGGCATGATCTGAATCCAAACATGTGCTCCAGAACGAGCGACAGTCCTCTATCGAACCCCTCCATCGGTGGCTGATGGCAATGTGATCTAGTTGAGTCCAACGTTGAGACGACTTTGGAGGTCGCCAGGTCAACAGATGCTTTTCCTTATGCCTAAAGTTAGTGTTTGCTAAGAATAGGCGGTTGTCTGAGCATATTTGCAACAGACGGTCACCATTGTCTGTTCTCTGAGCCGGGACACCATAACATCCACCTAGGTGTCTCTCCTGCTCACTTAGTCTACCTACTTGAGCATTAAAGTCACCAGCCATTATTACTATATCAGAGCGCCTAGCTTTTTGGAGGAGGTCCGAAAGCTTTCTGTAAAACTCATCCTTAACCTCGTCTGAACTGCATTCAGTGGGGGCATAGGCAGATACGAAGAAGAGGCAACGGCGATTGTCCCTATCTTTCCGAGTCCTTACTGTCCCGTTTAGTCGGACAGCGCACAATCGACTATCTACAGGGATCCAGTCAAGGAGAGATTGTTCTGCCCTAGGACTCAATGCTATGCCTACGCCAGCAAGACCCCGGGAAGCAGCATCAGGGCTACCGGATACACGAAGAGTAAATCGAGCTGCTTCTTTATTTTGACATGGTGTGGTCAAGTGAATGACGTGACTCGGATCCTGTATGCGCGTTTCCGAGACGCAGCATACATCGATGGCACGAGATTCTAAAGTCCTAGCTAAGGAAGCCTGTTGCCCTATTTGACACAATGTCCGTACATTAAATGCTCCAACATGTAGTCTAGAGCGAGGTTTAAGGAGACCAGGAACGACGTTTCGCGAACTCGTATCGTCTGCATTAGCTGTGCACTGTGATGAATGAATGTGAGAAGAGTTAGTCGTGGAGATAAGAGAGGTACTAGGGGGTGTAGGAAGGATTTGATTTTGACCAATTCGGCCTCGCGTGCTGTTATGGGTATGAGGGCGGTTGTCACTTCCCGGCTGCCCACACCGTGGAAGGTTGTTTCTTGAGGAACCTGAAAAGGAAGATAGATTAGTGTTGGTGCGTGACCGCAGAGTCCAAGGGACAACTGCTTGAGGCCGGTCACGCATGGCCTTTTTATCAGATGTTTTTTGAGGATTAGCTCCGTTCTTAAAGGCCCTTAGTGGGCACCCTTACCCAAGGAGACGGAAATCCGTGAGTTAGGGGAGGTGTGACATTTTTAGGGCCGACCTTTTCTAACCCTTCCTTCCTTGTGAGAAGGCAGCATCGCTGCAGATGCTGGTTGTCCGAGGGAAACACCTTACTTCTGTCACACCCCTCTGCAGTCAGCAGTACGACTTCGCCCTCAGACCTTGGGTAGCTGCTTTTAGTCTCATCGTTCTCCAATCGACCTGCCTGGCATGGTAGAACCTTGAGGAACATATGTTCCAGCCAGTATAGCTCGGTTGGGTCATCACGATAGGCAAGCCCGACCACCACGTCAAGGTAGCAGCTACGGTCGGGCTGAGACGGCAGTAACCAATGATGTTAATGTCTTAATTTGCGCACTGCTGAAGAGTCGTCTTATACTAGGAAGAAACGGCGGTTCAGTGCTTCCAGGTTGGTCGGAAGGTTTCAATGTAAATCATTCGAAAAAGAACCGCCAAAGATATACAGTTTTTTAGTTTGGGATATTTTGATGTTTGATGTTGTGTGTGAATCGATTCTAATCAATGCTTACATATGTAACTTTTAAGTAAGCCTCATTCATGTAACACATTTCGATAGCAAACATTTTTCTATGAATAGATGTTACATGTTGATATGATCATGTTTACACATATAATGAATAATGAACGTATAAAAATTGCTTTCACATTTTAAAAAAATGAATAAATTTGAAGATATGTTCATAAAGGGTCATGATAAGTCTTGCTGCCAACAAACTTCCAATCCGATTTCTCCTATGACTCCAAATTATATCTACATATCAACTGGAACACGAATCGAAAGTACACGACTTATTCGAAGGTTAATTTAATTGCAGGAGAAATGAGGGGTTTTATAGGGTTACAGATAATTTCCGGTTTTTCAAACATTTCGGGACTATATCTTCTTCCGCTGCCAGACGATACGTTGACACTCACGTCATATACTACTTATAAGTAGCTCACACCACAGGGGTACTAGAAATATTAGCGACGGTTAAAAAGATTAGAGGTCGAAGAATTATAATCCAGTAGAAAAAAATTCAGAGAGAGAAAACAATGTCATGAAGAATTCAGAGAAGCCAAAGAATAAATGCACTTGAGACATTGCAAACAATCTTGAGCTATGTCATTCACATTCTCTAACCACTGGTTAGAATCGTCTCGCAGACCTCAACCAAATAGTCTATACCTAGCAAAATAGCTCAGTCCAATTGCCAGGGGCTTCATGGATTTGTGCTATGTTTTGGTTTGACCATCTATAATTTTCTTCCAGCCTACTCCTAAAACCCAAATCTCTAGTAAATAATCTGTAGTGAAGGCAGTTACACTGCGTAATTTAGTTCAAACACCATTTTACATTCATTTTTCGATTTCATGATGGAACGTTGTATTGATTTCAAATATTTTAACGATTAAATATTACCGATTATTACTTCGTTAATAAATAACTTACCAGTTAGCTATCAACGTGTTAGGATATTCATCCAATATCCTAAGAGAATTATTGGTCAATTCCTATTGGTTAATTCCTACTGAATAATTTTAGGGTAGTCCTAGATATTAATGTCACATACTCCAATATTGTCTCTTATTGGTCGTCCTGACTGTCGATGCCACTTCAAATATTTTTTCCTATTGGTCGTCTTAACTGTCAATGTCACAGACTTCGATGCTGTTTCCTATTCGGCCTAAATGTATAAATATACATTATCTGTAACGTTTTATGACCCGGATCCCTAGTCCGGGATCCTTTGCCTTCTGGACTCGGATCTCGTACTTTCTGGATGCTTGTAGAATACATGTTCTACTTCATATCAAGTTTTCTTCCTTTATACACTGGGGCTCGTTTTCCGACTACCGTAAGCTCGTAATAATTCAAGCTTATCAAATTGACATGTTTACGTGCATTCGTTAAACAACGCATTTTGAATTTCGCGTAAAATACATACGTTATCCTTAATTTTGATTAGTTAACTCAAAACCGTTTGTATATACCTTTGTCAATTGGTTCTCACTTAAATAAATACACATGTTTTCTCATTTTTTTTTCAAAAACTATCCATTTTTTCCCAATAATTTGTTATCTGATTGGTTAAGAAAAAATGTGGTCGAGCTTTCATCCCAGTTGTTTTACACCTATCCCTTCTCTATACATCACAGTTCTAATATCATTTCTATTTCCATGTTCAATTTAAAAACGATCATCATAATAAGGCATAACTTACCGGAATCAGATCGATGAGGCAGATCAAATCGAATCGTACCGTTTAACAGATTCCTGTAGAAGAAACAATCACATGAAGCATTAACAAAATGAAGTCGAACAGCAAATGTGTTCATATAAAACAACACGAGCATAGGCCAAAAGAGAGAGAGAGAGAGAGAGAGCAGATCGATCGATAAAAATAACTGTGCATTATGCATATTCTCATATATGTAATGTGGTGGTATGCCGTCTTGTTGGATTCGTTTGACTCCACAGAGACATTTCAGAAAATCTAACATTATGAGTGCTAGTAGACATGCTACATTCTTTCGTTGATTTCAATGACATAAACATCCTCACAACCAATCATCCCATTTCAAATAACTGATGACTTTGATTAAACATGAATAGACAACAGGACAAATATTTATGTAGTTTCCAGTGACAGTGTGTCTTCAGCAAAAAAAGCAATGCTCAAAACTAAATCAAATTGATTTCAGACAACAGAAGTATTTGGTCATTATTAACCGACCTAGTCATTCCATTTAGTGATAAAGTTTTATTGTGGCATGAATGTACTCAGTACAAGTTATTGATCTCATTCACGATTAGTCAAAATAACATTATATTATACTATGTTATCAGTTTTATTATTAAAGAATAAAATTTGAAAAGGCATGAGCATATAGAACTCCGCACGGAGCCTTTCTGCGGTTGCTGCCGGTTCAAAGCCCGGATAAAAGAGGAGTTGGGCATATGTGGTTAGCGACCGTATCCTGTAGAAATCCAACTCACTAAAAAAATGCTAACCAGAAAAAAATAATTCGCTGGTCCGAGGCCTATGCTCCAATAAGGGTAACAAGTGTTAATAAATAAGTAATGTACATAAAGGATTCTGTGTACGCTAGAAGTACAGTAGACAATCGTGAATGACATATCGAACAGTCAGAAAACAAGAAAAGTACGGTTAGAGTAAGAAGTAAGGACTAGATTCAGACAGTGCGGAAATGCTTTGTGGTCATGTAATTGACTATTAGTCCTAACTGTATTAGTAGATAACTCTGCCCGGAGCCCCCCTGGGGTTACTGCTGGTCCCAAGCCCGAATAAAAGAGAAGGGTTGGGCATGGGGTAAGCGACTTCATCTCACTAACTCGCTAATAAACGTTAACCAGAGAAAAATTCACGCTTAATTTTTTTGCGAAATACCCATTCTACATTTAGTTGGCTCTGGAAATTCTGATTAACGTCTGATAAATTAGACTAACGATAATCTTTCTACTAGGTAAGCTCATATTTACAATGTCTAGTTGTCTATTTGTATGAATAATCAGGTCATTTTATTAAATCATGATTCGAAAAAAATACTTTGTCGTCAAGTTTCAAAAAAGAAAACAAAAGACCTATGTATAAACTTCATATTTTTATGAAATCATGAATCGATCGATATTAGACCACCATTAGAAACCTGGAAGCATTGGACGGCCGTTTCGTCCTGGTATGCGACGCATCAACAGCACGCATTTATGATCCTCGCCACCAAGGTTAAAATACATTTATTGACGAATACAATAGATTGTCATAAACTGTTCGCTCATCATCATAAAAATGACGTCAAACTCACAAGAGGATCTTAAGGATCACTAAAGATTATGACACTCTTGCTGTATACACTAACCATCTAGCAACCATTAGTTTCTGTTCATGATAAAAACGATTTTAGTGAAATTTCAGAAAAAAAACCGATATGAAGAAAAGTGATACATAGAGCCAATGGGAAATACCCTAAAGGACGAATGGATATCATTGGTCGAGAAATGAATTCATTTTCTAACGGTAAGAAATGTATGTGCTCATAAATGAGCATTTACATATATGATTTGCTAGTTATGCAGGCTTTGTCTTCTAGTCTTGTTGTCTAGGGGGGATTAGCGCATGACACGTTCATATATGGGACATCGTACATGATAAAAAAACAGAAGTGTCAAAAATGAAATAAAGTTACTCACCGACTGTGAATAATGTGAATATCCAGACAAATTTGATCGATTAAAACTTTTTTCTGATCAATCTGACCTGATCATTGGAAATGGAATTTTTGAAAAATATAACGATAACAGTATAATGATAATAAACAATGTGGAACAAGAAATTAGGTAATGAGAGAGAGGAAAAAACAGTGCAAAAAAAAGATTGACAGACTCATGGATCTAAGGTAAATCTATTCCTACACCGGCTAACATCACGGTCTTAAAGTAAGCTGTAGCTGAAAATATATGTAATACTGACCGCAATCATGATGGTGAATTAAAAATCGCTAACTAATTTCTCATCTTTTCCTAATACCCTGAGCTTAACCTAAATACTGATTACTCCTTAATCGTAACATACCTATATGCAAAGCTTGAAAGACAATTAACTATGACCAAATGGCATGTAAACTACTCATATCTTTTAATCCTAATAATGTTGATGCTACGTATTACATAAAATAAGAAAAACAAAAAGAACTGCCTTGCAAATATTGATTGGATGAAATGTTTCCTGGCGTTTCTGAGCCTCTATAGACACTAGTGTAGTTCAACCACGTGGGGTGTAGGCAGTAAGTACCGAAGACAATAAGTGAGATTGCGCAAAACCTTAAATTGATCAGAGTTAGGCATTAACACCATCGGGTTTCGGTTCAGTAGTCTAGAGGTTAGGCGTTCGCGCGCAAGACCGAGGTTCCTGGGTTCGATTACTGCGAATTGCGAGAGTCGTAGATGGGCACTGCTGATGAGTCCCATACTAGGAAGAAACAACAGTCCAGTGTTTATAAATTTATAATGGTGGTCTAACAATGATTGATTCGTGGTTTCAATAATAAACAACACTAATCCCACTAAACCCTTCTCTTTCATCCGGGCTTGAGACAGGCAGTAACCCAAGGGGCTCCGGGCAGAGTACAATGATACAATCATCATAGATATTATATGATAGATATTATATGTCATATTTCCCAAACAGGATTCCGATTATCGACCAGTTTCACAATAAGCCAGAAGGACCGGCGACCGACTTACCAACTGATACACTAACCAATAAACAACAGCTGAGACTTTAATGCTTAATGGCCCTCGAGTTAATTCTGACTCAGTAGTCAGTTAGAAGATACTCAATCCAGACAAAACTCAAAATACATACGATAAAATAATTGAAATAACTGACTACACAGCAAACTAAATGAGGAATTAGACTTGAAATGCAATCATATCACAAGTATAAGAGAGCGAGACAAACAGTACACAGTTAATTAACAATAACTAAGGCTCCGAACGCTCTGGTACAGTAGAGGGTAGGGAGAAAAAGCACTCTGTCTCTCTCAATACTCTCGTATGACCACTGCTAGGGAAGTTTTATTCACTGCGTTCTCGTGTCGAAGGTGCTAGTTACGAAACTGAGAGGATGGAAAGCAAACGTCCGACCGGGGCGTAGATCGCGTTGACAGGTACGGACCCACCTAGGGAAGTTGGAAAACCCTGACTCAAAACCAATGGTGCACATGAACTCTAGGATCCAGGTGGAATATATGGATTATAAACCCATTGTTGATCACTGATCATAATGGGAATAGATCTCCTGACGTTGCTACATAGCCTTAAGGAAGAATAAATTGAACTATTTTTTTTCCATAAACTATCTAACTAGTTTAAGTGTCAGTTTGTGTGGATTGTAGAGATTATTGAATCTTATTGAAATTACAAACCGATCTAAGTTAGACAATGATTCAAAACGTGAAAGCACTGAAAATCTAAAAGCGATATACATCCCGGTTATGTTCTATTGAGTGGCAGACAAACACTGTAGATCTTAAACTTTAAACTAATTAGTATGCGCCAAGCGATTAGAGATAGTCAGCAGGGAACGCTGTACATGTAGACAGGCACTGATCAGTAAGGCGAACTTGTAATATTGAGAGAAATAATGATCTCTGTAGGAATCGATCGGGTGTCAACCGGCTTCAGTGTCCCAACGTCATTGTTGACGAGTGCCGACTAGCACAAAACTTTGCTTTGTAATCAAGATATATGTGTATGTAAAGAGATTGAATTATCTTACATTGTAACATTTAAAAAATGGATACAGTAATTTTATACAATGAAATGTATATTAAATAGAGATATTTAACTAATAATGACAATGAGTTTAGTTTGTAGAACAAGCAAAGAACCTAATATAATTTTCGGATTACTTAGTAATAATAATAATAATAATAATAATATCCGAAAAAAATAAATTTCAATAAACAAACAACACACAACTACTTATAACGAAAACAAGTAATCGATTTTGTAGAGCTACACTCACTAACCCAAATCAATTATGGCTTTTCTTAAAGAAGAACCTAAAGCAAACAGTAGACATGGTGTAGTTAACAGGAATTCGCCAATAGAAACAAAACAGCACATTTTCTTTGGTACTGATAACGATGACGAGGATGATAACTGTTCAAGCTCATTTAAAATAACATCATTCTTTACAATAGCCAATTCAAGAGTATACAATACCTAAAGTATCCAAGCAAATATAATCGAAAGATTACAATCTAAGCATTGTCATGAATATAGCATTAAAAGTTATTCATTGTTAAAAGAAATTGACGAATTTAGAAAATGTCACTCAAGGTCTCTAACCATTGGTTACTATCGTGTCGTGGACCTCAATCTGGTAGTCTATACCTAACAACATGGCTCAGTTCAATTGTCAGTAAATTGTGCCGTGTTTTGGTCTGGCCGTCCCTAGCCTTCTTTCAGCCTACCCCCTACACCTGGGAATCATCGCTAATCGGGGCAGTCGGTGGTTGGGCATACGTAACACATATTCCAATCACATAAAACTGATAAATATTCACCAGTTCACCAAATGATTTGCCATCCTTACCTAGTACTTTTTTCCTAACCTCATTATTGCTTACTCAGTGGTCCCAACATACACAAGCAATGCTTCGAAGATATCTGTGGTCAAGTACTAGTAAAATACGAATAGTTATGATCCATACCCACAAAATAGAATGCATCGACTTCAGGGCAGTAAATTCGTCCTTTGGTTAGTAGAGGAATATCTTGTCTACACCACAAGTGAAGCAAGCAAGTAAAGACCAATGGAGCCTACTGTATCCGTGTCAAACACCAAACCATTAAGATTGACGAAACTCCGAAAAACTGGTCGACGCACCAAACTACTTAACTCCCCTTACTAATTCAGGAATTGATCCAAGTCAATCCTGAAGTAACAATCTGCATTCAGAGGGAGAGAATAGTATCCCAAAAATCCTTGCACTGATGCTTAAGTAGATCATAAGACTGAACCAAGATTTTCATTTTTACAAGCATGTCTGTGACGAATTAAATAAAAAAATGGGTAAGTGCACAACCCTAACGAACACCAATAGAAGTAATCAATTTTGATGAAGATTCACCATTACCTCTGATTCGACCAGTAATGTTGAATTAGAGCTTCTGGAGAGTTAATATGCCTTTCTGACATACCTTTTAATGACAGACACTGCTACAGAACCTCACAAGCAACGGAATCAAACATCAAGGAATATAACTAATTTCGAAAGGGTGAATATTTCATCCTTACATCCATGTCCAGATTTGAAATCAACCTGTTTTTCTCAAGTTAGTTCTTCACGAGCTTTTGTAAGGCGTCAAGGAATACTGAAGTGAATGTTTTAGACCCTACGTTAGTGAAACTGATTCATCCATCGCTGAGTTGATTATGAAGATCACCATTTCAAACGACGTTTTCCTTTATGATCGAAGTACGCTCAGGCCAGAAATAGACAAAGTTGCAGAAGACCGTCGGAATTATCAGTTCGATGAGCCGCGACATTGTAACATCCACTCACGTGCCTTCCACCTTGGTTTAGTCTACCCACTTCGGCACTAGAATCACCAGCCACCATTACTACATAAGAGCGTACAGACCTGTGAAGGTTAGGAAGCTCCCCACAGAATTCATCCTATACTTTATCTAGGTTACAATCAGCTGGGACGTAGGCAGAGGTAACGAAGAAGTAACGGTGTGTATCCCCATTTTCCCGAGTTCTTACTGTCCCGTTTAGTTGCACGGTGTAAAAGTGACTGATTACTGGAATCCTGACTAAGAAAGCTAGTTTTGTTTTTGAACATAATGCTATAGCAGTGGGGTCTCCACATATGGTTCTTCATGTTTACAAGGTGAGGTCAAATGATTAACTGTACTCGTATCAAAGATGCGGCATACATTGTTTGCGCGAGATTCTATAGTTCTAGCTAAGAAAGTCTGTTGTCCCATCTGGCAAAAGACTCGAACACTCCAAGTTTGCTAGGAACATCTATTGGGATAAGTTTGGAACCTGATTAGTTTTTGAGCCAGGATCAGATTTTAACGCATACTACCTTTTAATGATACCAAACTTTAACTTAATTGTTACAGTTTCCCAATTTTTGAAATCCCATTGACCAAAATGCAGTAGAATTTCTTTTGTGAACTAATAGCTTGGACGAATATGGACACGTCTTGTGCTTTTGCTTACATATCATTTCAAGGTCAAAGGTAGGTGAGAATGCATTCTATTGCAGAAAATTGACTATAAACCGACTTAAGACATTAAACTATACACTTCTGTTTGAGTCAAGAGGGAAATTATATAGATCCCAATTATTTGTTTACCTAATAATTCGAATTTAGTAATTAGACCTTCGCGTCCTTATCTTTAGATTTACATAGTGGATTTATATAACCATAGAAATTGTGTGTATAATAATTGAGTTAGGCTGGAGTACACAAATTGAGCACACCACAAGAAAAAATTCTAGTTTAATCATTTACAGAAAATACAAGAACAAAAACCTCATTTCTTTTGACAAAAACTATATATGTATATATATGCATATATAACATTCTTGTTTGCTTACTCTTCGTGTTACATCAGTAGCAATGAGAAAAGAGGAGGAATGATCAACAGCTAATATGATGCTCGATTTCGACAATGAAATATTTATAGATTTTAATAAATCTGTACTACATGGTGTAGAACAAAATTGTATAACTTGTAGACAAGACCAATCGGAACATGACCAAAGGCGTATTTCACGATTAGATTGTGCACCGGTTAAAAGATAACTCCATGTTACACTAACAATTAAAAAATATATAAATACATATATACATATTAAATTAAACAGTAGAACAAGATTTTATTATTACGGTTAATTAATCAGCCAAAAATAAAAGCAAAAATTTACATATTTTCAATGTTAAAATGATCTTTAAATCTGGTATATTTATATAATTAAAAGCTGAACAATTTAAGTTGTATTGGCAAGAAACTGAGGTTATTGGATACTTGAACTAAAGTAAGTGGGGTGATATTTAAAAGTTGAAATTATAAATCGACCAATGTTGGACCACTACTAGAAACCTACAAGTAAATAGACGGCCGTTTCGTCCTAGTATAGAACTCACCGGTAGTGCGCACTCATGACTCGCGCTACTAGCAGGAATCGGACGCAGGACCTTTGATATTAGGCAAGAACGCTAAACCTACAGACCACTGAGCCGGCATGCGACAGCGGATGAGGTTGTGCAGACCGTGGATTGATCGAAGCTAGATATTAACGCCGTTGGATGCAGGCTCGGTGATCTAAAGGTTGGGCGTTCGCGCGCTAGATCGAAAGTACTGGGTTCGATTCACGTGAGCGAGGCTAGTGGATGCGTACTGCCGGTGTGTTCCATACTAGGACGAAACGACCGTCCAGTGCTTCGAGATCTCTAACAACTGTCCAACACTGATGGATTCATGGTTTCAAAGTAACTCAACAATCTTCACAACCGTATAATGATGTTATAACATCTTATACTGCTCTATATATTTGAATACAAATAGTGATGAAAAGATGTCGAAATAAATATGCACTACATAATAAAAATGAGATTGTCAAGAGTAAGAAGAGGATAATAATACCAAAGTTATAAGGTGGATCAAAAGAAATGAACAAGAATAGTAAACCGGTAGAGAAACAAGTTAGTCTAATGAGATAAAATTATAACCAGGAAGAATTCTTTCAGTAAATGCAGTTACTCTGGTTTTTTATGGAGAAAGTAAAAGAAAATTTCACCAAGATTATCAGTGGATTCTATCCTGAACCAAGATCGATCGTAACTGGTACCTTAACGTGGTGGTGGGGCTCGCTTATCGTGATTACCCAACCGAGTTATGTTGGCTGCGACATATGTTCCTGTAGGTTCAACATGCAATTCGATTGGAGAACGATGGGACTAAAAGCAGCTACTCAAGGTCTGAGGAGGGGAGTCGTACTGCCGACTGTGTGCGACAGCAGTAAGATGTTTCCAGTATCTGCAGCGACGCTGTCTTCTCACATTCTCATCACTTTATCTTTTTCTTGTTAAGTTTATTTCACTAGATCATACTTCTTGAATAACATCTTCGAACCCTAATCTCTCCGATTACTGCTAATACTTTTAATACCTCTACTACTATGGGATTTGAATTGACATTTACATCTCTGTGCCAATGTGGTATGGCAACTTGCAGTGATGTACGTACGTATGAAGTTCTACGTTGCGGTTGACTGACTGATTGCCTTCTCACAGGGAAGGAACGGGTTAGAAAAGGTCGACCCTAAAAATGTCAAACCTCACCTTACGCCATTGATTCCCGTCTCCTTTTGAAAAAGAGCGGATTTAACACTTTAAAAACTCACTAAAGGGCCGTGTGTGACCGGCTTCCAGCAGTCGTCCTTTGGGCTCTATGGTTAGGGTCCCAGGTCTCTATTCCACCAAATCCGGTGCTTGAACATACGATTTATTACATAAAAGCTGAGTGCTTCAACCATCAAGCCCCTAGATGCCTTGGCAAGGCTGACAGTAGGGAGTTTTTTCTCTTTAACTAAACGCTCTCAAATTATAAGGCACGTATAGTCACTGACAAGTGAATTCTACTTATTGCTTTATCGTACGATGGGAATTTTTGATTGCGAAATTGAGAGGATGAAACGTAAATATCCGGCCGGCGCCTATACCGGGTTGGCAGGTGTGAAGGATCCGTCTAAGAGAGTTGGGAAATCCTCATTCTGAACCAATGATGTACACTGGATTCAAAATCCTTATAGAGAGAACAGCACAAGAACCTGTATTTGGTTCAATGAATAGCTTTCTAAGAAAACCACCTGTTTCTGTTTGAGCACCCGGACAGTGTTCAAGCTCACTCGCCAATTCAATAGTTTATGCGGTGTATAAACATTTAGGTGCTCCTTTGTACCAATATTTATGTTTAAATATACAAACCAAGCTATCACTATTAGCTTTTAGGCATACATATGAACAATGCATTTCATCTCTTCACTTGGGTAGCAAAAACTTTTTTACAAGCAACTTCAACCATCACATCCGGTTAACTTGCCAAAAGTCGGAAGACTGCTTCACCTAACAGATCCGTGTAACTGAAAGTAATATGAGCTACAAGAGATGAAACAGATAACTATTTTTCATCTTCTAGAATTCCAGCTAGCATCTCAATAATCCTCATATGCTAAGTGTAGAACAGGATCGAATGCACAAATATATACCTGATAATAAACTAATTACAAAGCATTCATCATGTTCTCATATAAAATATAGCATATTGTTTACTTAAAATACAACGTTAATAATTTGTTTATATGTTTATGCATTTATTTGTAGCACCCCCAGTTGTCGCACGACATTGTAGTAGTAGATAATATCAATCTATGCATATCAGAAGCCTATTAATTAGGCTTGTGTCACAATCTGAGTTCCTCCAACTACTATCGCGTTCCAATTCCATGTGTCAACATCATGTAAATAATTCAGAGGTTTAGTGATATGTTTTGATATACTTGAAAATTACTATTTAATCAGTGATCTAATCTAAAAACAATCATTTAAACAACCAACCTAAATAAACAACATCTTTTATATATATATATATATTGCTTGAATAGTAGCCTTCATAATATGCAAACATTTTCCGATGAAGAGATTGAATGATAAAAGTATAAATAAAAAAAGGTTACATTTTTCAATTTCAGTAGTATAGTCGTTTACATAGTGAACTTCATTATCTGTTGTTGATTTTACTCCTACAATTTATTCTTGATTGTTATGTTGGTGTACACAGAGAATCTGTGTAGCAAGAGTTAATTTCCTACTATTGTGAACATGTTAAACGCATTTTTCTATGGGGAAGAAACAATTTACTGTAATAATGAATGAAAATCAAAAATTATTATTTATTTATGATCAGTGCTGTCGTTAGGAAACGAGTACTAGGTAAGGATAGTAGATCAATAGATGAAGTGGTGAAACTTCATCAGTTGAGGTGGTTGGGACATGTCTTGCGTATGCCCAACCACCGACTGCCTCGACGAACTTTGTTTTGTAGTGTAGGAATAGGTTGGAAGAAAGTTAGGGGCGGCCAAACCGAAACATCGCAGAAATCCATGAAGTCATTGACGAGTGGACTGAGCCATGTCGGTAATTGTCGACTACCTGGTTGGGGTCCGCGAGATGATAATAATCGATGGTTAGAGACCTTGAATGACATGGCTCAAAATTGTTCGCCATGGCGCCGGTGCATTTATTCTTTGTGTTCTCTCTAATCCTAATCTTCTGGATTCTTCAACACCTCTAGTTTCGACTCTCTAAACTCTTCTCACTGAATCATACTTCTTGAATAGTATCTTCTAATCCTAACCTCTCCGATTACTTCTAATTCCCTTACTACCTATTCTACTATTGGATTTGAATTGACGATTACTTCTCTGTGCTGATGTGGTATGGCGACATGAACTGATGTACTTATGTACAAAGTTCTACGTTGATTCTGACTGACTGACTTATGATCAATAAATAAAACAAAAAACTGAATCTCAAACGAATTAGTGAGAATGGATATTGTTTAAGAAAAACAATAATAATAATAATAATAAAAGATGTACCTTTCATCATTGTGTAACACATTGTCCAAAAAGATTAAAGCATACAATGGTAGTCCATTATGAGGCGAGAATATATGAATTGGCCTAAATTTATGTGAACAGATAATAAACGAGAGTAAAAAAAAAAAAGAAAAAAATTGGAATCATTATTTTCATTGCATTAGCGCATAACATAATAAAGATTAAAAATACGAATGAGAAAAGCATGCTTTTGAATTAAACTAAAGCATGCAAGCGTAGAAAATACATATTTTCCAGTATGCGAAAAAGCTCTCAGTGAAACAAATATTTTAGTCGTTATGATAAGATGTTGAAGATTAACACGAATCTGAAGTTTCATACTACGAACTCCATTAGTCTGAACGATAGGAGCGCTTGTTGCGACACCTGAAGATCTTACAAACAATCCTTGATGGGGTCGTGGATGTGCACAATTGAAAAGTCATATGCTAGGACGAAACAGTTTTCGGATCAATCCCGGTTTTCAATTGTCTAACTGCAGTCAATCTGTGATGTGAAACTTCAGTTACTATTAACTGAAATAACTCAACAGTTGACGAATATGGTTTGACAAAGATAGTTATGCCTTTTACGAAAATGGTAGTTGTTCGGATTACACTTCACAACACCTATTCCGATTTGGTGAGTCCATTAGTAAAAATGACTCTCATATACAAATATTGTGCTTCAAAGCAGAGTACATGAAGCCTGTATTTCATAGATCATTCCAATAAAGTATGAAGATATATGAGGACGTTTACTACAATCAATCAACAGCAACGTAGAACTTCGTACGTACGTACATACATCAGTTCAAGTCATCATACCACATTAGCACAGAGATGCTACAGAGATACTACAATGAGAAATCATTGAAAAATTCGACAAAAATGAGGACACTATAAAATACAGAATACGATGCTATCTAGTAAAACCCATACATTTCTAATCTGTGTGCCAGAAAAGTATATGATTTAGTAATCTAAAAAACAGCTCACAAACTGTCACATGAAAAGCCTACAATCAACCTATTCACCCAAAGACCTGTAGCCATAGCACTGACTATTTTATGATCATTCTAGATTTATTTAATCCTACTGAGGTGACAGTAATCGGGTGAAACCGATTTAAACTCATCAAAGCAGTGAACAGTAGGTTAAAATCCCAAGAGAAGCATGTTCTTATACGATTCCCAAACAATCATTGTTGATGAGAGCCGCTTGACAAGAAACTTAGACTATCAGGAATTCTTATCGGTTATTCCTCCTAAACGACTGACTGACCCATAGATAATTAAAATCGAACTGAATGTAACATGATACTGATATAACTAAATTAATTACAGAAGCGGAACCTGGTTGAGAGAATTTAACTGAAGCTAAAGAATTACACAATATGATATTGGATAATACTTAGTGGATCAATTAGTATAACGTTTTAATTATATGCATGTACAATAAAATAACTAACAGGGTACTACTATAAATTGATAAATAATTCGAAAGAATAAACTAACCTTAACTTAAACTTCACATTATCAGGCATTCGATTAACTAATGAATATATACAAACTTCACCGTCTAGACTAGCAGAAGCCAAACAAGTAGCATCACGACTTAACGCCAAAGCTGTAATTGCATCAGAATGATCAGATAAGTCAGCATAATATAATGACTCTGTTGTACATTCTTCTATTGCGTCAATAAGTTGTTTTTCACTCAAAGATGTTGATACTTCTAACTGAGCATTTTGTGAGAAGTGATTTTGAAGAAGCTCAACAACTAATCCTATATTTATAACTTTTACCTTCAAAATAATAAAGTAATAAAATCTACTCATGATTATTTTTTTAAATAGGGAGTTTAAACGTGAAACTCAACAAACACGCAATTTCTATTTCAGTAACAAAACTGAACGATTAACTACTACTTATCATAATTTACCAACTGTTATATAACTTGATATATTTGAAGTCAAATGCAATGTTTAAGGTAACGAAATTAAACAACCCCACATATATAACTGCTGATTTGATCGGAGTATTATTATGGGAGATTGCTTTAAGTTAAGGCCCCGATCGGCAGGTGATGATCAACAATAATATTGATAACCGTCTACCAGACTGAATCAAAAATAACTGTGAATAACTGATAATTAATCGCGTATTAAATCAGAAAAATATTAATGCACAAATATTAGTTAGTTCACGAAAATGTCATTTTGAAAAATTTGCTATTTTCATATACTTTTATTTATATACAATTCTAGCTATTAAAAGTATCGTTTTACGCATTTAATCTTGTAGTACATCTAGAGTTATTGCATTAGTGGGGAGCCTCAAAATTAATGAGCACATCGATTCTCAATAAAATGACAAGACTGTGTTTTCTCATTCTCAACGTGGGGGTAGGAAAATGAAGATTTTTTTGTCTACAGTTATTAGAGACTGATAAGAACTATAGTAATTAGTCCTTTTATCTGCTGCGAGCAGATACAAAAAAATTAATCTGTATTGAATTAGGTTAAATCTCAATTTTATACCTTCGATTAATTGCTCGCCCGTCTCTTCATCAATCTTTTTCGTTTACTGATTATCTCTATTTATAATTACTCAACAGATAACCTTCCAAGTGAACATTTATCTGAATCACAAATTAAATACTTGAACATGACTGGACAAGAATTGAGTACAGATTTACTTTTAACTATGTTTATTTCAAACAACTTCCATTGTTTCCCTGGAGAAGCTTGGATGAGATTGTTGGATGAAAAATTAGAAGTATCTAAATTCTAATCGTTTACGTTTAAAATATAATTCTACATCTAATGTTTCAGTAGATATTTCATTCAATAAATAAAGATGTGGACTTCCTTGTCTCCGTGTGGTCTCCATGTGTAGGTATTCGTTTAAACTAACTGTACTGATGTCATGCTAGTTTCGAAGGATAAATTCATGAAATAGAATTCTAAATAACTTCCCTCGAAACTGCAAACACTCTGCTTTACGTCTCAGATTCCCTCAATTGGTCATTTCTCTTTGCATTTCATTTTGGTGTTCCCATCTTGGTGCGTTGATATAAGATGTGGTTAGCTGGATCAATACATAATTGTGCCAGGTCTCGACCCTTAACATTACTCAAAGCTATAGTGACGAACTTTTATGGACTGATTGCAAGCCAATATGGAAAGATTCGAACTACGATCATAAATAATAAATCAGGACCAAAACTTCGAAATATTTAGTCCTCAAAAAAGATGAAAACAATCATGTTGATTAGGTTTCAATGCCATTGATGTAGCCTGTTGCTAATTACTATTAGGACACCAAGCTGAAAGCAGAGGCGGTCTAAAACCCAGTTATTGTGTATTGAACTGCCGATAACTCGTTGAGTATAGTGCTGGTGTTGCCAACCAAATACATAGGAAAAAAATTATCGAGCCTGCCCTATACCACGACAAAATAAGTAAACTAAATCTACCCCAATCACCGAACAGGAGCCGAGGTGACCGAATACTGACTTTAAAATTTATACTCATTCCACACTGAAATCATGAATGAATCATTGTTAGACCACCAGCTTCTTTTATGGGTATGTTAGTACGAGATAACCTGTGGTATTCCTATTACGCTCGTACCACTATCCTTACCAACAAAATGAAAGCGAATCTGTCGAAGCAAGTTAAGTAATACCAGGCAATTAGATCAAGATAACGCTTACGTAGAAATATGGGACAATATAACTGGGACATACTTAATGATGGAATAAGTTAAACCTTAGATAGTCAGGAAGTATTTTGAAAGGGCGAAAATTGCAAAAACATTGTACCTTGTGATGAGCAGAATATGCTAGCAAAAGGCTTGGGTCGCGCGGTGAAACAAAGTCACGATCAAGCATTTTGTTTGCAAGTGGAAGTGCAGTTTTAGATCCATGTACCCATGGACACCAAACAAGTGAAGAAATGTCCAAAGCGACAAAATTTTCTGGTGGCCTTAATGAGAAGAACAACGACGATGTCATTGGGTCTTCAGAACCGAATCCTTGACTAATCTACAGTTCCGGAAATCAAATTCGACATAAGAGGTTCACAAACCTTAAAGACGTTAACTGCTCCAGAGTGGTCAAGAACGCCTAAAAGTGCGTCACTTCGGAGGGCGAAGTCAATGCATGTGATGCGATCCGTGAAAGAACGCAAAAGTAACTTTTTTCCAGTCTCCGTATTCAGCAATCGCACCATCCCTAACTGTATGTCTTCTTCAGAGTCTGTTTTCTTTATATCTGCAGAACGAAATAGGGGTTGGATAATATACACCCACGTTTAATTGCATAGGCAATCAGCGAACTTGCGTGATGACGTGAAATAAGACGTGTTACATAGTACTGATATTCCCAAAAGTATTTAACAGCTGGTTGAATGCTAATCTATTTAAAGAAACTCGGGTTAGTAACTGAGCATTCAAAGTACCTTGCAGCTGGCTGAAACATCTTTATAATCCAGAGCGCTTTTGGCGCTAGGATATACATTTACATGAAATGAAGATATTTCTCTTATATTTTCCTCATCGTTCCCGGAAAATATTCTGAAAATGGAATAAAGTCCGTACTATTAATTACATTTCTTGGGGATCAGTCATTTTAAGTCACAAGTATATCCCAAGGTCTTAAACCAAGGTTGAGTCTTTATATGTTGACGAGATGAAACAATTTACAGTTAAATATATCACGTCTATGTTTTATAATGAGAATTTACAACTTAATTCATAAGTAGTATTGCGTTTTTTGGTTCGAAAATAATAAATACCATCAAATGTAGTGAATTTACGACATCTTTAAATCGTCGTTCATGAAACTTGCTGACTTTTTCATAGATTTCTAGAAACCTTTAGGAGTACACCAGTTTGATGTATCTTTTTCTGGTCATTTCAGTCAGTTCACAGAAATTAGTTTATTATTGATGACTTACTGCACTTTTTCCATTTTTAGTTGTCACCTATATTCATTAACATCAGAGCAGTTTTTATTTTACATACAATTTATGGTTGAACCATACATAAAGGAATAACTCCTCCTTCCTGGGATTAGTAATAAAAATTTTAACGGACTGAGTTAGGGGGCCTGTAGTCGAATCCTATATGTGGCAGCATTAATCTCACCAGGTACGTCTTTTTTGAGGAGAAAGGTAGCTATGGCGTTGTGAACCTCAAGGTATGACCGTGTGTATGTTTTGAGCAATGTTAGGAATAATTTTAGAGTAGATTCATCAAGTTATCTTTGCGAACAGTGAGGAGTTATGTTAGCCTTGCCGGAGTCTCCTATGTAGTACGAACTTGTATCTAGGCCTTCAGTGACTATTAAACTGAGATCACTCTCTGAGGAGACATTAAGGAGTAGACCTCCATTGAAGATTTAAGTCGTTACTGTCATTTTAGGCTGAGCGTCCATGATGTGACAATTCGACTGGTCTAGTTTTAAACCGTTTTCAATGCTCATTCCTCAACAGATGTAAGGTCCTTTCGAAGCTCAGGTGAATCATCTTCGCTTATCATGGACCTCTTGATCTTATCATCATCCGCGCAGTTCAATGCCGCCTTTCCCTTTCCTACGCCCACCCCCTCTTCTGTACTGTTAACAGATACTGCCGGATTTAGAACAACCGGTAGTTTCGTTAGTGCATTATCTGTTATTAAGACTGCCTTCGTCATTTGTTCTAACGATCATTTGCTCGGCGAGTCGAGGAAACTAGTGGGGATTGTCAGGTTAATTTCAGTGGGGACTTCACTTTGGTGCATATCATTTTGTTTTCTCAATGGCTCTGCACCTTGGACTAACGTGCAAGATCCATGGATAGGGGTGACTTAGCATGAACTTATAGTTCTGTCTCAGTACTGCAGTATCACAGCGACGGGTTCATTCACTTTAGAAGTTAAATTCGAATGCAGTGTAGCTGGTTTAGAGTGGCAACGATAAACACATACAAATATTGTTGTGTAGTTCCTTCTAGAGAGTAGGCTGATTTGGGTCAGTTTTATTATGCCTTTTTTAATAATAATAATAATAATAACTTATTATCGAATAACAACAAGTTACAAGAAGCATGCTAATTTACAGGTAATATCAAAATGATAAAATAGTTGGGATATATAATGTAAAAAGTTCTTTACTAGGATAAATAAATATCCAACAAGATACATTGGCTTTTGACAAAAGGCTGAAATTGTTCACATAAAATTATGGATTATGTTTCAGATTGAAGTCTGAAACATACAATGCAATAGTTGGCGCGAGTTACATGGGTTGCGTTTCGAAGAACCACTGCTGGCTGAGAAACAATGCAAGTTAGATCCAGGTTTGTGCATGATAAAAATTGGTGAGATGATTTTTTGATGATCTTGTTGAAATTCGCCAGATACTAGTACGACAAACTTCTGGGTAGAGCAGCCAAGTCTTCGGCAATATGAAGGCCCATATTTAGGGCGTAGGATGTGGTTCTGGAAAAGAGGAATAAAGGAAAAGGGGCAAGATGCAGAACAAAAAATATTCTTGCTCAAAGCTAAGTCATAAAGACCAGTCACTGGTAATATAACGAATAGGTAAACAATCATATGAATAGAGAGGACTAAAAGGAACTAAATTGCTAGAAATTATGTTGATCTCCAGAATATAGTGATGACAGTTTTATTGATATTCCGTTTGTTGCATAAGATTTCACGAATAAAGTCTGTTTCAACATAATTCTTCATGGTTAGCTTTAATATCACTGACCAGTTACATCCTGTTGTATTGTAAGGATCGATCATTTTTGCCTACCATTCTTACTCAGCGAATCGACCCGGAAGAGTATCGCGCTGGTTTCTTTGTTGGAGGCCCAGGTAAGGTGTTCATTTTGAATGATTCGAGTTATATACATTACTCCAAGGTTCACTATCCAGTGAGCGTTTCCACATTTATGTTGTTAGAAGTTGGAAAATTCTACTCCCTACTAACCCTGAATTCAGGCTTCTACCAGTTTTCTCAGTTGTTATGGTGTAAGAACTGGTTACAAAAATAATACTGTGTTTATTACTCAATGAACTGAAAAGCAGATTGTGGGTTATTTCGAAGATAAAAATAAGCCAGATATAAATTTCGTGAGAAGAAAGCAATAATATTAGATTGAATTAATATGTATTACGCAACAATAGAACCCGAAGGATACCTAAAATTGCAACGTCGATTTTGACCGTCATAGAAAGGAACTTCGCGTGAATACCGTAACTTTTCCACAAGTCCTGTGTTTGCGATTGAATGAATGTTTGTCTGTTGAAGCAACCAGGGAGAGAGCAGATCGAAATGACCGGACTTATGGGACAGCCGTCCCATCATGGTATGGTTATGTTTGTTTTATTTCCATTTTTTCTACTGTTTATCGACCAAGGAAGACGAAGTTTATATTCTCTAGTCTGTCTATGTCACAATCTGTTATCGAAAACCGGATTGTTTTCTGTTAGTGTTGAGAGAGGAGGAGTGCAGGATGGGAAGATATGTTTTTAATCAATTCAAACAATGTATTCAAATGAGAGCTCTTCATAATTGTGGCATGACGAACTTTAGCGTGGAATGCACTCGTAATATAATCTGTGTCTGATAGCTGAATGAACATTTCATATAATCGGAATCGTGTTCATCAACTGGAAGGTCATTCTATACAAACTTTTTCATCCCAGAGACAGGTTTTCAGCTTGATTTATATTTAGCCTTGTAATTTTCTCCTTTTACCTTCATTGACCGTGCACAGAATCATGAAACAGTATAACAATAACTTGTTCTCAGGTACCAATGTGTTAGATGAAGTCTGCCAGTTTAAAGGCAAGATCAAAATATTAAATGAGCTACTACTTTCACTTGAAGCTATTAATGTTCCTGACTCTGGAATGTATAATACATTATTGGGCGCGAATTACATTGGTTGTGTTCCCACGAACGACTGGTGGTCGAGAATCAAGGTGAGTTGAATCCAGGGCTGTTTGATAGAACTCACCAGATAATAATTTGATATGCTCCTGAGTAAAGCAACTGTAAGTCTCCTAGACTACTGATGATATTACAATAAACATTTCATACACTGAAAGAGACCCTGAACTTCATCGTGATCTGCTAGTTCCTAATAGATGCGATTTAAATACCAGAAGGACCTCTACTGCTACAATGCCCGGATAAAGGATTGAGGTTGGGCATGGGTTTGCTGACCTCATCTCGTAGAAAACCAACTCACCAATAAAGCGCTCAACAGAAAAAATAAGTCAAACCATTTAAACTTTTTACTGGTAGTTGCACATTCTAAACTTAGAAAAGTCGAAACGCCTCATGACGAAAGCCGAACTTCTTCTGAAGTCACGAGACCGACCCTCTTTCTGACGGCCACAGAAGTCATTAATAAAGGCATATAATATTTTCATACGTTGCCAGTGACAGGTAGAGGTATAAGAGTTGTGGTGGAAGTGAAAAAAACACCACCGGGCGGTACTTGGAATCAGTGAAATCCTTTGGATTCAGCTTGGACAATTAGGACTAGCTTTAGGAGTGGTACAGTCATCCTCTGATCAAAAGAATAAAATGCCTCTCATACAAGAGGAGTTGCATGAACGCTATCCAAATAAGCACAGAGAAATTAATAGGACTGGAATCGTATGGACCCAGGACCATCAAAACATCCTTGAAAACGAAGAAAGATATGTAGGTGAATATCATCGAATGCTACACATCCACTAATAATAACAATGGGGACGACAAAGGTCAATTATATGAGGGGCGGAAGTCAATCCTGGAGAAATGCCCATCCAAGAAGTTGAAAATGTTAATGGCAGACCTGAATCTCAAGGTTGGAACGGGCATTAGAGGATACGAAGACATCTTGGGACGACTTGGACTGAGAGAAGGGAACGAAAGTGGGGAGAGATTTGCAAACAAATAGGGCACGCTAAATGCCACATAGGCTTGACCAAATCGACCACAAAATGTTCAAAAGGACGATGGAGGATGTAAGAAATAACAAAGGAGCTGATATAACTGCAAATCATTATCCAATAGTGGCCAAGATAGAACTGAAACTTCAAGAGCTCTGGTCAAGGAGGCAAACGATATCATAAATTTTTAATTCGGTTTTTCTTTGGCATAGGTTCCAATCATTTCCCGATTTACTCAGTTGAGAGGAAACTACGATGACGATCAACTAGAAAGGGATAAATGAGGCAATCACTTGCGGGCCACAAAAAACACTATCACAAGGAGTGAAGTTCCGTTGATACTCTGGGTAACGAAGACTAGGAAGGCAACGATCAATATCATCAGAACAAAAACAGAGAAAGGTCAGGGTATATAGAAGCAAACAAGAAAGTGAAGAAGGACATCCATGTTGATTAATGTAGATATGTGGAAGATCTAGCAGTGACAGCAGAAAAAGCTGCAAGCAAATAAACCATGATACAGCTGAATGTTACAACGAAGAAGTTAGCTGGAAACTGTCGTCACCTACGACGAACAATGAAATGCGAGAAAGGCAATGTGATATATTAGTCTGGATATTTACTGAAGACTTGGTTAATTTACCCAGGAGCCTGTAAATTTATTATATGAAGAATATCAACCAGATCTTAGCACATTTACCTCATCAATTCTTGTTATATGCAAACCTA